CAACGAGTCAACATTTAAAGGAGAGAGATTTGTATTTTCATATTTATATATAAACCATGGACACCAAACCCAATGCCTCAGCCATTTGAGGACTTTTAGAGAGAGAGAGAGAGAGAGAGAGAGAGAGAGAGGGAAAATGGGGGATTCAAGTGATTCAGTGTCGGTGGATATGGAGGGGGTTTCTCTTGGCGGAAAGGTAAACAACCCACATTCCTGAAATTTTGTATTGTATTTTGCTTTTAACAAACGCGTTGTTCTGTTTGGTTGCCAAGAAAATTTTGAAATTTGTATAATGCAATATATGTATTGCGTTTGATCCCGCTATTCTGAAGAGCCCAACTCTTTGATTACGAAAAATGGGTGGTGTTGAGAAGAATTGACTAATATTTTCTTGCCTATCATGAACGATTGCTGCAACATTACTTTTTCTTAATTGCAGGCTAACAAATTCAGATTGTCTATTTTTGTCGTTGGGTTTTTATTAAATTCTCTTTCTTTTGAAAAACAAAATGCATTTTTTCTCATTTGGGAGCTGCGTAAGTGAGTATATGAGTCCATTATCTAGAAAATAGTTAGTAGTATAATTTTTCTGCTTTGGGAAATATACTGTATTTGGTTGGTTAGTAATTGGAATGCTGATATTCTTGGAGTCAAAGAATAAAAATTCAAACTTTCTTTGATGATTGCTTCGTGCCCATATGAGCAAAAGTGGTCAATTTTATACCTTGTTATTAAGGGTACTGACTGCATACGATCACTCTACTTTTCTTCTTGATGGCAGTATACTGTGGTATGGTTGTTAGTGTATTATCATCTCCTCACAGTAAATAACCCGAAAAGGCGCCTTCTTAACGTGCGCGGTTTATCTCTTGAATGCTGATTCGCAGTCATAAGAATGCTTTGTCACTATTCTGTTTCAATTTTACTTCCCTGAAATGTTGTCTAAATTGTATCCTGTTATGGCATCTCTATGCAGGAGCATATTGTGAGAACCGGTCTTGGTATTGTGTCGGTCGCTGTGTTGGGAGATCCGGACAAGCCAGCTCTTGTCACGTATCCTGATTTAGCCTTAAACCGTAAGTAGAACATGGCTTAGCTACCGATAAGTATTGTTTTGATTGGTTGTACATTTGGATTGTCTTTGTCTTGCGTACGTGGATGTGTGCCACTCATGAAATTAAAATTTATTGCCTGGCCGTTTACCTTGATTGATCTTATCCATCAGTTTCAATTCCAAATTTTTTAGTAGAATCAAATTGTTCATAACCCTGAAATATTATGTGTAGTAAGAAAATGTGTTTGATCAATTTCTATCTCTGAAATTTATTTGTTATGAGTGCAGTTTCCTAACTAGTTTGGTCTTGCTTTTTTCTTACTAAATTGGAGAAATTCTGTCTTAATTTTTTACCTACTTTGTACAAGTATTTAAAACCTCGAGCATCATGGATTATCTCAACCAAACGCTTCAACGTCATTGTTTCTTTTCGTGACATTAAGGTCCAACTTATCATTTGTCTTATTATCTGATTTACCAGATATGTCCTGCTTTCAAGGATTATTCTTTTGTCCAGAAGCTTGTTCCTTGCTGCTTCACAACTTTTGCATATATCATATCAGTCCTCCTGGCCATGAGGTTTGTAAATCAATAACTTGACTACATATATGGATTCCACTTGATTTTTATGACTAATTTTCTCTTGTATTTGAGTGCTATTTTTCACATCGTATCTTATCTTGTGCCTTCTTCAAGAATTTTTTCAGTTGGGAGCTTCTGCAATTAGCCTTGATGATCCGTTGTATTCTGTTGATGATTTAGTGGATCAGATTGCCGAGGTTCTCGACTTTTTTGGGTAAATGAAATTTCCATTTCATGTCAAACAAGAACTTGCTTTGGAGTGATCTGAATTAAATGCCTGTTCATTATAATGCTTCTGGTTTAGTGTCTTGACTCCCATTTACTGAACACACGCAAGTAAATAATCATCCTTCTATTTAGATGATTGAAAAATGAAGGTAGTTACCCTGATATCTCTTTCTCTCTCCGTAGACTCGGTGCAGTGATGTGTATGGGGGTTACAGCTGGAGCTTTCATTCTCACCCAATTTGCTGTAAGATCTCTTGGCACAGTGCAGATTGGTGCTTACATGTGTTCCTTATCTTTCAATAAGTCCTTAATTGTCTGATTTTCCTATAACTCTTGGCAACAGATGAAATATAGACCACGTGTCATGGGTTTGATACTTGTTTCACCTATATGCAAAGCAGCCACTTGGACAGAATGGTTGTATAATAAGGTTTTTCTTTCTCCCCTTCCTGGATGTATAACTTTGTTGGGTTTAAGGAAAATCTGGTTCTCACATTGACATTTAATCTCATTTTCAGGTGATGTCGAATTTACTCTACTTTTATGGCATGTGCGGCGTGGTTAAGGAGATATTGCTTAAGCGGTACTTCAGCAAGGTCTGCCACTGTTAGTTGAACTCACATATATTTGTGTCCCGGCATCTATTTTGGTTTGATTGTTTAAGTTTTAAATCATGGCTGCAGGAAGTTCGTGGTAGTGTTCAAGTACCAGAGTCAGATATAGTTCAGGCATGCAGAAGAGTTAGTGTTCTAGCCTTTTTTTATCTTTTATTATGTTACGTTCCATGTCTATATAAAACCAACGATGACGGTGGTTAAGTGCTGATCTCATGTCTAATGTCTGTATGCTCTTACAGTCACTTGATGAAAGGCATAGTTCGAATGTTTGGCGATTTCTTGAGGCAATGAATGGGTAAATTCTGTTCCCGAGATTTCTTTTATATTTTTATTCTATGATCAAATCCCAGTAACAAACCACCCCACTTAGGAAGGGGTTGTCCCCGGCAGACAAATTATCAGTAGTGAGATATTAGCAATCACTGTGGCATTCTGTAGTGTTAACTGCACAAAATGCATACAGGATGTCCAATTATAACCACTTCATAATCGGAGTTTGATGCATTAGGTGGCATGGAATTAATTCAATTTTTAATGTCTCGTAGGAGACCTGACATTTCTGAAGGATTGAGAAAGCTACAATGCCGTTCGCTAATATTTGTTGGTGACAGCTCTCCGTTTCACTCAGAAGCTCTCTACATGACTTCAAAACTAGATAGAAGATATAGTGCCTTGGTTGAGGTATGCAACCCGGCTAATTTCTACGGTCATATCAAGTTTTAGTCGTACTTTTCCATGAATATAGGGTAAGCTCATTACTGGACGTGTGGGTGACCTACAGGTTCAGGCATGTGGGTCAATGGTGACAGAAGAGCAGCCGCATGCGATGTTGATACCGCTAGAGTACTTCCTCATGGGATATGGTTTGTACAGGCCTTCTCAGTCCAGTGTCAGCCCAAGAAGCCCCTTGAGTCCGTCCTGCATCGCACCTGAGCTTCTTTCACCAGAAAGCATGGGCTTGAAGTTGAAACCGATAAAAACTCGAATTCCTCATTCCTGAAAGGAGTTGAAAAAGGGTTTGCGAAAAACGCTTCTTTTCTGTGAGTTTTAGATTTCACCTAGATTTTGGGGGTTGAAAAAAGGGAAAGGGGATTAGCGGTTCTGTAGATATATATATATATATATAGAGAGAGAGAGAGTGAGAGATACAGGGGATAATATCACAAGGGAAGCAGATATAATTCTTTCATTTGTAATCACAACTGTTAGTTGAGGGAGGGGAAGGTCTAGTTTTCTGTATATCGTCGAAATAAACATTTAGTTACAAACAAAAACGTAAATCTCAATAATGATATAAAATGGATGATGAACTTGTGTTTTTTTCGTGTTCACGAAGTGGGTTTTCTGTTTATTGATTGATTTTCTTCTTTTGGTTTTACTTTTTGTTCTTCTCGTACTTATGATACGTTGATTCAACCGGATGCCCAACGCACCTAAAAGATGCTCATCTTTAGTTGTATCACAAATCCGACAAGTTACATAAAGTTAGGTAAGGTTAGGTAAAGACCGGCTTCGTTTTGGTTTTATTGATGTGGCACATTCAACTTTAAGTGGTGGATCATGTGTCAAGCCCAAGTAGCCATCTATCTTGGCACAAAATATGACTCGATTAATCACTCTGCGATAAAAGGGAGGGACTTGGTGGAGTCTGTCATGGCCAGCATCTGCATGATATATATGGCTGGGAGCATCTTTGCTTGTCATCAATAACTTAGATTAGATGGATTCTTACCATCCTTCTAGAAGAATGCCACGTGTCCTATTACTAACGGGTGGTGCTATGTACAATTATTTTTACCTTTCACGTATCCTCTTCAATTTTTGACGGTTGGGTGTGCCACCATGATTTCACATCAATGTTTGGCGGTCGGATGTGCCACCACGGCTCCACATTAATCGTCCCACTACCGCCGCTATCTTATGAAGAAGATGACCTGAAAAAATCACCGCCACTACGATTCCTTGGGCTTGCGATGGGCATGGTTAGAGACAAAAAGCAAGGGAAAAAAAAGGTCATATCTTCGTCTAGTATGCGCCTTCCCAATCCTATGGCCATTTCTTCTGCGCTGCATATGGTCACATGGAGAAGAAGATGGGTTGAATGGAAGGATTTATCAAATGCAAATCAGTTTTAGAGATTAGGTGTGGGGCGGGGGAGAGGGAGAGGGAGAGAGAGATAAAGGTGAGACGGGTGAAGAAAAGAGAAAGTTGGCTGCCGCGGACAAGTTGAGGCCGTTTAATATGAAAATTAAACGGAATTAGGTGAAAAGGCACGAGGTATAGTTTAAGGTGTATGGTGAGCATTTACCATTATTTATGGTGGTGTGCAAAAGTGCACTTAAATGGTTAGGTAGTGCATGATTATTTCTCATTTCTTTTACATGCCACGTTCCTGTCGTTGTTTGACCGGCAAGATTAAATTTTTATGTTGTTAAACTGTGAATTTGTTTTATTAATCATATTGATTATTGCCTTTTTTAGATTCATAGTTTAACAACATAATTTTGCCATTCAGAGAATAAAGTGGTAAAGCTAAGTCATTCCATAGAAGAAAAGGTACACAACAAAGATGGAGCCAAAACAAGTAGGAAATATGGATTGGTATTCTTGGTGCCCCAAATCCTAATCACTGGCAAAGAATTGTTCCCACACCCTTAGGGTTAAATCAGTCGATCAGAACAATGCGATTGCTTATTTGTAACTAAGTTCTAATTTTCCTATTTGTAAATTACAGTAATTTATAATATCGTCTTGTTAAACAATTACTGGCGAGGAGGCGGAACTGGGAGGGCATTTTGAAAGGCATCATGGGCAGAGGCAGATACCGAACTGCTTTGAGACTTGCAATCAATTGGAACCAAACGATTACTTCTCTCTTTGCCAGACTTGTCTCCAATGAAGAATGCCTTCACTGTGTTGAGCAAAATAGTCCCGAGCTCATCGCACTCGTTCCACTCGTGAATCTTTGCCTTGGTAAGCAAGGGATTGGCAGAAATCAAATCCCAGATTGGATAGTTCTTCCTCGGCAACAGAAAGTCCCCTTCTTCAAGCTTCAAACCCGCGCAAAAATCGGGAGCTCCATCTCCAACATAGATGAAATGCTTCTTCCCATCTGCTGAAACAGAAGCTCGGATCTTTTCCATCACTAAACCCTGCAGCAAAAAGTTAAAAGGCTTAGGATCCCAGAAGCGCTTTTGGGAAGTGCTTTTAAATGACTGAAAGCGCTTATAAGAAAAAGTGATTTTGGAATCTAAAAATATTTTCTCCAAAAAACGTTTTTAGTCATTTTAAGGTTCCCAAATGAGAAGGACTACTAAATGCTTCCTACAAAAGCACTTTGATTTTTAATAAAATTTTTGACAAGCTTATTATAAAAATACTTCTATTAAAACCATTTATGAGTAGAAGTGCTTTTTATAAGGGGTGTGCTATCCACATATCCTATTTTACTTCTTACACACCCCTTGATAATTTTTGTCTGTTGATTTTCTTCAATTCATCCGATCCGACAGCCAAAAATAAAAAATGTGCGTGAGAGGTAAAATAAGGTGTGTGGATATCACACCCCCTTTTATAAAACCGCTCCACGGAGCCCTAATTTACCTTGCACATGTTGGGAGGGCAAAGAGTGCAGCCATGGGAAGACGAGATGAAATCATGGAAGGGCAAGATTCTCAGCCTGCGTTGTTCATCAATAAAGCTAGGGTTTGTCTTGATTTCTGAGAAGCAATCCATTATCCCATGATGCTTCAATATTGCGTCTATGAAAAAATCATTTGCATCACTTAAAACCCTCAGATCACACCTGCATATATGTGTGACAATTATAAATTACAGAAAGTACGAAAACGATTTCCGCACACCATTCTTTTTGTTACTTTTTGCCTTTGAATTAAATAATTGAAAGACAAATCAAACATGGATGTCCAAAAGGAGAAAACGAGTGTGCGAAAACATAACATAATTTATGTTCATAAGAAGATGAAATTACCCAAAAGCATGGGCTGATTTAATTGCAGAGACAATGTTGGGATGGATTGGAACCCTCTTTAAGCACTCCGAAATGTCCTGAATTGTCTTTCTGCGTGCATGAAGCGCCGTCATCATCCGATCCTGAACATCGAGTTAGTAATTACATACCGCTGTGTGTTCGAAAATTCGTTATCATAGTTAGTACCATTAATTAAACAGACCATAAGAGGGTTCCAAGGCATGGTAGGGAGGAGCTGAGTGAACAAGTCATCGACACCCAACTCGTCCACGACCCAGTTGTCGCTGTCGCAGTCGATGATCGTCTTGTCAAAGTCGAAAACAACCACCATCCCCGCCGCCATTGCTCCAAAATGATCAAAGAGAGTGGCAATAGAAGCAGTGTGTTAATTGTGAGACAGAGGAGGATTAGCCTTACTGTGTTTTTATAGGGTTGTTTAGCAAAGTGGTTACAGCTTAGCAAGCACTAAGTCCCTAGCTATTGGGATGTGAAGGGGAAAGAGTACGCAGTAACTGGTAAGCACATACTTAGTGGACGATGTTTGTGTCCTGCTTGAATTCTATCTCTTGATTCGAATCCTATAAGAACAGTGCACTTGCATACTTTTGACAATGCATGAAATGTTATATATTCTGAGTGCTGCAATTTATAACTGAACATGCAAATTACAGTCTGACACGTTAAAAAATATAACTCAAATCATAATGTGACACATAAACAAACATGACTCATTTAAAACGCAAGGAAAGTTCATGGACAGTACAAAATATTTTTCGAAGTGATTTCATTAAGGAATCTGCACACTTTTTTTTTTCTCATGCACATCCTCATTTATTTCCGACTTGGATTAAATAAAATTCAACGGACATAGGTTAACAAGAGTTCAGAAGAAGAAAACGAGCGTGGAAAATCGTTTTAAATTAAATATTTTAGTAGTGTTCTTTTGGTTAACAGAAATATATAATTCAGAACCAAGAGTAGGCATTGATCAGGACTTCAATTCTGCTTTTGCTTACAAGAAATTTACTCCTTAAAACTTTTGACTTGCATACAGGAATATACACTTGTAATAATGCTGTGGAATATTTGCATTGTTTCCCTACATCATGATCCAGATGTGCCCATTCCTTCCATTTGCTATGTACCATTTAAAAACCTTCAATTCACACCAAACTTGTGGTTGTTAATCCTAATGTGGTGGCTTCTGTGGGTTCTCTCGAGGTTTTCGTTTTGACGGGTCTTTCTTCGGTTCATCTCCGAGTACATTTCCTCAATCATCGGTTTCCATAGCCGGACACGGGCATTTATAAACCAATTGGATACCTAGTATAGCCAAATATGTAGAATAAATGAGTTCTTAGAAGCAATGGATTCAAATTCCTAATAAAATCAGTGATCACATACCTGGTTTCTTGTCAATCCACTTTTTACTGCAAGAACATGCTTCTCCGAATCTTTAGGGTACCTGAAAATTGATTGAATAGATAAGACATGTTATCGATAAGAAATTGTTTGTGCTCATTCTTGAAGACGGGTATTATAATAAGCCAAATTCTAAGACATGTTCATGAAAAAGCTCACGGATGAAGGAAGTTCTGAAACATCCATGCACGTAACACTGAGACGGATCTTTCAGGCAAACCCCTCTGAGGTCTCCATATTTGATGTTCTTTCTTCTTTAGTTGCTGAAGAGCCAACTGCTTATGGAATTCAAAAGACCTTTCGCTCTCATTGGGGGATGCAGGGCTTGAATTTTCACTTATCAGAAGGAAATGCGTGCTAACCCGCTCCCTCAGACTATTATACAGCACAGAAATAGTTTGAAGCACAAAACGAGCGTGTATATGAGGATCTGTCTCGGTTGCAGCATGAAATGCTGATACAACTGTATGAATCTCATCGACACATTGGTTGTAGCAGTCATCAAGCTGCATCAGAAAGAATAATATCAATCTGTTCAAGTGCCCAAATACTATTTCTAAGTCCAACACATTCGAAAAGAAATGTTTCAGAACAGGAAAATTCGGGACTAATTAATAGCACAATACAACCACATACCATCTGTAAAAGGGCCAGCAATTTGGTTTTCTTTGTTTTGATTTCCTGTTTTCGCAATGCAGGCTCCTTTGGCACCTCAAATCTACCATCTAAATCATCATCCATGGTCGACATCCCTCTCTCAGACACGAGCCTGGCAGATGAAAAACTCGATTGGTCTAGATTTTCTAAAGAATAGTTTGCGATATCAGAAAGCATTTCCTGAACCACATGAAGATATTTTGATCCACATATTACTTGGGATAACTGAGGTGGTTTGCAAGAACCGTAATTTAGGGAAAACTCCTCACTGTTGCTAGAATATTGCTCTGGTGAGGCAAACCTTATTTGATTCAGACAAGGTTGAGCAATCCCTGAAGAACCAACATCTGAACATTGATTTCGGATTTCCAAAGGCCTGGACGTGGCAAGAGTTAGAGCAAGCTCGTTGCTAAATTTGGAGGAATTGGAAGAATTATATGTCATCACACTTGCACCATCTGATGATAACCATCCATTTGGATCCACATTTCCAACAGATGAATACGTTTGAAGCCCTATTCTTACTGAAGATCCATCACCAAGTTCCAAAGGAGCTGCGTACTTGTTGATCTCCCACTGTCTATTTACGCTACCAAGCATTTCATCATATCCACAATTCACAGAGGCCGCGAGCGGAGAATTGGAGTTGTTAGAGCAGTCATTCAAAACATAAGCGTCTGAAGAATTAATCGGCATTGCTGAAATCGCTAAATTATTGAGATTTTCTTGAAGAATAGTACTACCCCTCGCTGCAAAAAGGGCAGCAAGCGAGGCAGAAGAATGTGGTGTTGCTTGGAACACCGTATTATCAGCGAAACTTGAACTGACGAATGAGGATTCTCTCACATTGCTCCCTCTTTGAGAAATAAGAAATGGACTCGATTCAGCCACACTAACGCAGTTTGCGTTGTTAAGATCAGAATGAGAATCCACGACAGGTTCTCCATGAAAGGTTGAAAGCACTGGAGGCAAAGCCATCATACGGTTTTGGTGATTGAGATCAAAGGAATAGGACTGTACAAGAGAGTTCACTGTGGTGTGTGGTACAACCCCATCCATGACTAGAGAATTTCGGCTGCCCGCCGGAACATTATACATCTCATTATCCATCATATCAAAGGGAAACAAATTTCACATTTCATTTGGCATAATTGAAAGATCGGGAAATAAATATTCTATCCGCCAACTCTCTTCCATCATGAACAGATCAATTTCAATCAATCTTAGCCTGGAAAAATTTAAATATCTTCCACCTACATTTCAAAGTTTAAATTCAAGTAAATAGCATGAAAAAGTTGGTCAGATTAAGTGCATGCAAGTAACAACACAGAATGGAATTTCTATAGACCAATCAATTGAAAGTGTCAACCCAATACAGTTTCTTTTCATTCGAGTGACATTATAAACTAATCTAAACTACGAAGAAAATGATTAGTAACTTGGGCACAAAGGCGGGAGCACACTATCCTAACCAACTCGACTATATCAAAATGTTTAAACCAAGCGATAAATTTAACAAAACTGAGAACTTAATCATGCAATCAGTAGCAAATTACATGAAAAAAAAAAGATTAAATGTAAAAACTAAGGTAAACATTTAATAAAATAATTAATTAACAGTTAATAAATTAAATACTGCAGTCAGTAACAAACAAACTATGAAGGTAACAAACCTGAGAATGCAGATTCTTCCCCAGCAAACCTTCTCTGAAGCAAAACAAATTTATGAAAAATCTCCAAGCAGATTCATGGGTTTTTTCCCAAATCAGACCCCCAAAAATTCGAATGAAAAGCAAGATGGAAATGTTGATTGACACAGAATGTATGTATACTTCTCCTACCAATAATAATTAATAAAACCAGAAAGCTCACAAAAGATATGATTCTTTTGCTTTGGCCTTAAAAGCCTAAAAGGAGTACAATGAAAAAAATAGGAAGAAAAGGAAGGGAGAATATGCAGTGGTGAGCAACTTTGTTCCCTTAACCAAAAAGGAACAAGAAGAAAAAGCTAACTCCTTCCCTCCGACCTTTCTCAAATCACAAGAAATATAAAAGCAACACAAAAAGTTGAAGTCTTTTGTTTTGGATGAACAGAAAAGTGGGGGATTTTTTTTTTTACTTGCAAGCTAAAAACCAAAACCCAAGAGACTGACACATTTTCAGCAATCAGGAGGACCCATCAAAGTTCACAGAGTTCATCTCTCTCTAGCTTGAAGCCACGAGATTTAAAGGAAGAAACAGAAATGGGTCTGAAATATAGGACACCCATCTCAGACAAACCCAATAAAAGAACCAAGGAGAGGGAGAGAGTGGAAACGCCAAAGAGAACTAAAACCAACAAATGAAACTTGAGAGAGAGAGGAGACGTGTCGAAAAAAAAAAGAGAGTAAAAACCTCCTTGCTTTTTATCTATTTTTGACACCCAAAACCCTGATTGATTGAGAACAAGAGTAAATGTGGCAAAAGAGGCTCTCAAACTTTCTCCTCAGAAGCCAACACTAATGGCTTAAAAGCAATAAGGTGACAATGCTGATGACATTGAGAGGGGGAGAGAGAGAGAGCCAATTCACTGTGGCAGCAGCGCTAGCAGTGTACTTTTGTACACATGCAGAAGGGACGAAGGAAAAAAAAATTAAAACAGACAGTGCTGATGCAAGCAAAACCCCAAAATCTCTGATCAGAAAATCTTGATAAATTTATGAGTGCAGTTACAAATCACACCCGACTTTTTTCCTTTTCTGCATGGATATCCAAACTTAAAAGTATTTAATCCTATGGGCTAATTATTTTATAGACTGCATTATTACTATGTAAGTAGGGTTTTTAAAAATCTAGCAAATAATGATGAGAATCTGCACAAACTGGAGATGAGAGATACTACAATGATGAACAGTGGGTTTGGTGCTTGAAGTGATCTTGTTTAAAAATCTTGGATCATGAATTTAATACTGATAAATAATTTTCTATTGTGTAAAATATTTGGAAATTATAGATACTGGGGTCCCGACGATGTGACGGTACATGCAACCTGCTCTGAGATTTTGCTGGCCATGTTCCAGTACATGATTTGGCGGATACAAAGTAAATACACTCAAGTAATCAACGACTGGAAAAACTCATGTCTTTTTCTGACTTACAAGATTAAGGGGGTGATTTGGGAGTGAAATGTTTTAAAAAAAAAACATCAACGAAAAAAAATTGTGATGGTTTTAGGTATTTGGTAAACTGAAAAAAAATGGCTTATTTTGGAAGCTATTGTGAAAATAAGTTGAAATCAAAGGAAAAAGCTTAAGCTGCTATTTGCAGCTTTGGAAAACTGGTTTTTTTTCAAAGTACACGGAGCTACAGTGCTCCTTTAATGAAAGGACCCACTATCAGATTGTTTTTTTTTTCAAAAGCATTTTTACAAAAAAGTTTACCAAACACTCTGCTGATTTATTTCACAGCTGCTTATTTTCACAGCACTTAGGGCTGGTTTGGTATTGCTGTGCTTTGAAAAAAAGCTGCTGTGAGAATAAGCGGCTGTGCTGTGAGAATAAGCGGTTGTGAAATAAATCAGCAGAGCGTTTGGTAAACTTTTTTGTAAAAAAGCTTTTGGAAAAAAAAACAGTCTGATAGTGGGTCTTTTCATTAAAGGAGCACTGTAGCTCCATGTGCTTTGAAAAAAAGCCAGTTTTCCAAAGCTGCAAATAGCAGCTTCAGCTTTTTCCTTTGATTTCAGCTTATTCTCACAGCAGCTTCCAAAATAAGCCCTTTTTTTTCAGTTTACCAAACACCTAAAACCCTCACAGCTTTTTTTCATAGGTGCTTTTTTTTTAAGCACCTCACTCCCAAACTAGGTCTAAGACCTAGTTTGGGAGTGAGGTGCTTAAAAAAAAAGCACCTATGAAAAAAAGCTGTGAGGGTTTTAGGTGTTTGGTAAACTGAAAAAAAAGGGCTTATTTTGGAAGCTGCTGTGAGAATAAGCTGAAATCAAAGGAAAAAGCTGAAGCTGCTATTTGCAGCTTTGGAAAACTGGCTTTTTTTCAAAGCACATGGAGCTACAGTGCTTCTTTAATGAAAAGACCTACTATCAGACTGTTTTTTTTTCCAAAAGCACTTTTACAAAAAAGTTTACCAAATTTAATGAAAAGACCCACTATCAGACTGTTTTTTTTTCCAAAAGCACTTTTACAAAAAAGTTTACCAAACACTCTACTGATTTATTTCACAGCCGCTTATTCTCACAACAACTTTTTTTCAAAGCACAGCAATACCAAACCAGCCCTTATTCTCACAACATCTTTTTTTCAAAGCACAACAATACTAAACTAGCCTTAACTTACTTGAAACATTTATTCTTATTAATATAACGTTTTTAGTTATTAACATATATAAATAACACGAGAAATATCATAACTAGAACTTGTATAATATGAGTATATTAATACATTTATGACTGCACTTATGCCATACAATTTGCTCCGGACACTGAATTATGTTCTTTGGACAAGGATTGTCTGCCCTTCTATTTTCAGTGTTTTTTCGTGTTCTTCTGTTTGTGTGGTCACGATTAAGCCACGTCAATATTTTATATTATTATTTATTTTTATCGTATTATTTTTATAAAAAAAATAATATAAAATATTGACGTAACTTAACCGTGACCACACAAAATAAGAAGGTACGAAAAAACATCGAAAGTGGGAGGGCAAACAATCCTTGTCCATGTTCTTTTCCCACCTTATTACATACTGCTATCTGAAAAACTAGCTGTCAACAAAACCCAAAAAGGTAGAAGAAACAAATAAACGTGTCTTGAATCTTGATATGAACTCCACAACAACTGTGAGACAACTAATCTAGAGGAAAAGGAACATGAATTGGGCGAGGGCCAAGACCAGTTTAAAGTACTATTTATGGACCTCAAGCCGAATGTAAACGCTTACAAGTATTGCAAAGTCCAAATGAATAGATGACCTATAAATCCTGATGATTGAATATTTGGAGAAAATTTGAAGCGTGAAGGTTCTTCATATCTTCATGTATTGTTATTAATTTAAAGATCATTTAGAAATACTTTTAAAATAGTTGAAAGTGTTTTTAATAAAATTAATTTTGAGTTCCAAAAGCACTTTAAGTGTTTTTTTAGATATGTGCTTCTTACAGAAAGGATTTAAAGTGCTTTTCTAGGATCCACTTAGATTTTTATTAATGATTGGTTTGAAAAATATTATCACCAAATGCGGTTTTAGTTATTTTTAAAGTTACTCCCAACCAAGCCCTTATGATAAATAATATGAATTATTATATATTTGTAGATAAATAGAAGTCATGAACCCAAACATTTACGATAAATAAACGAGTATTGAATTTAAATTGTTCTTGGCAAATTACACTACTAAATTGTTTGACCTGAAATTTTGGAGATTAGTTAAAATTTTCACTTCTAAATTTCAACCTTAAAAATTGTAATTACTAGGAGGGGTACGAGCACTTTTCGAGGGGTCTAAATGGAACTAGCAAAAGAACTTATTAATACACTTCTAGCTTGTATATATTACCTTTCTCAATTTCTGATTGCCTGATCGAATGAATGAAGAAGGTCAATGATAAAAAATTAATAAGAGTACGACATACGTAAAATTTGATGTGTGAATAGCACTATCTATTTACTATTCATAGTCGTATTATTTGAACTTTTTTTTAGCCTTCTGAAATTGATTTATCCCATAGAAGGCTATAAGCTACAAGCTTGAGATTTATCTAAGAGATACAAATTGAATGTGCTTCTTTATGTTAAAATTCTAAATCCACCTCTGCTTTAAAAAAATCGCAAACAAGCCAGACATTTTCCAAATTTCTTTGTTTTTGGTGAACGAGATAATGCATTACCCGGGCAAAGATGCCAAAGAGAACAGGAAAGCTTACAACAAAGCAAACAGGCCAGCTACGACCAAGCAAGAAACGAAGTACAAGGAGGAAACATCTGACACCGCATCAAATGCTAAAAGTGTCACTCCTTGCACCAAATCTACAAGCCTAATGGGGACAAGGGAGGCCGTCATTACACAGAACATGAACAAGGGAAAATGGGGGTCGGTTAACCCAAACAAAATCACATACCTCCCTACTTTGCCGCGACGCCAAACTGTCCGCTGCCTTGTTGGCGGATCTTGGAACCCAAGACCAGCGGCAATCTTGGAAAGCCTTCCCCAGACTTGTGCACTTAGCTAGCAAAGGAAAAGCATCCCAACTGCCCATCGAATTAAGATCCTAAAGACAAGACACAGAGTCCAAAGAATCAGATTCAATGATAATATCATTCCACCCCATATACCGCCCCAACGAACAACCTTGCAAAATTGCCTTAGCTTCAGCCAATGCCACACTCAAGGCACAGATCTTCTTTCTGCAAGCAGCCACAAACCTGCCATGATCATCCCTAGCCACCACACCCACAAAGCCCACACACTCCCTAGCATTCCAACTTGCGTCCACATTTATCTTGATGAAACCCGAGCCAGGAGGAGACCAAGCAACGTCATTTCCCCGATCCAGATCATTGATCCGGGGCTTACTACTTGGGACACGATTGGCCTCTAGGAACATACCCATCGAATGATGAACAGCGACGAGAACCTGCCCTGGGTAAATTGGTTGCTGCTGAAAGATAAAGTTGCACCGAGACTTCCAAATGTGCCAACAGGTAACAGCAATATATGAGAACAGTTTGATCCTTTCACCCCTGTTAGCAGAAGCCGCATTATAAATATCATTTAACCAATTTACCCAAGAAATTATCCCCACCCTGCCAATACCGCGAGTCATACGTCCCCCATTCCACACCGCCTCTACCCACGGGCATTGGAGAAAAAGATGTTCCATGGATTCCGCAACCGAGTTACAGAGAAGGCACATGGGGGAAAGAGAAGAGCGCCTAAAGAATAGGTTTGCCATCGTTGCCACTGCCGCATGAAGAGACTTCCACTTGAAGACCCTTATTTTTGGAGGAACCTCCAAACTCCACATGCACTTCCATAATTGAGTCGGTATTATATCAGACCTATGCGGGTTGACATTCCTTTGAATATGAGTCATGGACAAAGCCCAATGATAACCAGATTTTACCGAGTATGCACCTTTTTTTTCGAAAGGCCACACCAATCTATCCTTTAAGGTCGGATCACCCAGAGGGATATCCAGAATCGCCTTGATCTCTTCTTCCACCACAAAAGGTTTCAAGAAATCAACCTCCTAATCCCCAGACTCATTACAAATCAAAGAGTTGACCCTCAAATTGCTAGAAACTTGAACCGTACCCAAAGGAGAAGGTCTTCCCGATGGGATTGAAGGAAGCCATCTATCCACCCATACCCGAACCTCTTTGCCGTTCATAATCTGCCAGTGTGCACCCCCGAGAATAATATCTCTTCCAACAAGGAGACTAGACCAAGCCCACGAAGCTCTTCCTCCCTGTTTTGCGTCAAGGAAAGAACAATGAGGGAAGTATCGGGCTTTAAGCACCATCGCCCACAAAGAATTTGGTTCCGATAACAACCTCCAACATTGCTTTGCCAAAAGAGCATCCAGTTATCTAGGTTACTATACCACACACTACGCTCAATTAAGTGGCCATAATTTTGCTGATTCACCGAAGTGTTAGGTATCAGGCATCACATGTCCCTCAGGGAGTGTTTGTTTGACCGGATTAGAGGGAACTGGACTAGACTAGACTACTTGCTAGTGTAGTCTCATGTTTGGTGTGCACAAGGATTTAGTTTAATGGGATTAGATGGGACTCGTTGGGATTAAAGACTTCGTTAGGAGTTCTTAACCAAGAACCCTAATTTCGGCCGGACTCGTAAGACCACCTGCGAGAGAGAACCTCGCTCTTCCTGCGACAGAGAGTCTTCGTTATCGCTCCTTGCATTTCCTGCTCCCTCCTTGCCCTGTTTCCTCATCCTCGTCCTTATCACCCTCATCTCTACGTCCTGCTTGTCCTTATCAGCATCTTAGTCACCCTCCACCTAAATCGCTCATCCTCCTCCCCCGTTTGATCCCAATTGAAGTAACCCCCTATCTCTCCATCTCTCACTCTCTCTAGTTGTTTTGAATTTTTTCCATCTGTTTTTTAATTTTTTATTTATTTATGGAATCTGGGTTTATTGAAAGGTGTTGAATTTCAGAATTTAAGTTGAGTTTTGAGTCCCGTTTCCGTAGCAGGCAAGATGTCGAAGCGAGGGCGTGGAGGGTCCGCTGGAAACAAGTTTAGGATGTCACTGGGTATTCCAGTGGCAGCCACTGTGAACTGTGCCGATAACACCGGAGCTAAGAATCTTTACATCATTCCCGTGAAGGGGATCAATGGTCGTTTGAGCAGGTTGCCATCTGCTTATGTTGGTGACATGGTCATGGCCACTGTCAATAAGGGAAAGCCTGACCTCAGGAAGAAGGTCCTGCATGCTGTTATCGTGAGGCAGTGCAAGCCATGGCGCAGAAAGGATGGTGTCTTCATGTACTTTGAAGATAATGCTGGTGTTATTGTGAATCTGAAAGGGAGAAATGAAAGGGTACTAGTCCGATCGGAAATGAGTGTGCTGATCCCTGGCCTAGGATTGCAAGTGCTGCTAATGCCATTGTCTGAATGTTGCTCTCTGGGCCTTTGAATAGGACAGATATATGATAAGTTGTGGTTGTTTTTGTTATTAGAAGGCAGGTTTTTCCTGAAATTTGACTAAATTTTGTTTCATCTTGTCGATGTGTTGTGCAAAACTTAAATGGATGTTGTTTTGTTCTAGATATTAAAAAAAAAAAATTTAAGTTGAGTTTTTGCAGGTTGTATAATGCGATTTAGTTAAGGTTTATGTGATAGAGTTTGTCAATCTGTTAAATTTTATGGACTGATTGGACTGTTTGATGGGTTTCAAGCAGATTGCTATGTGTGTGTGTAGTGTGCAATGTGCAATGTGCAATGTGCTCCAGGGCTCCAGGGACAATGACATGGAGAAAGAGTCTATGCTTGTAATTTCCAGCGAAGAAGAAGAAGAAAGAGTCCCTGTTTGAACCCAATTTGAGTTGTTTGTGCTAATTTGGTGTCGGATTTGTGAATTGCATGTTGAAAATTTTAGTATCTTACTTCTTAGTTCGACACTGCACCAAACGCATCATTAAGATAATTCAGCTTAGTCTAGTCTAAGCCAGTCCAGCTTAATTCATGCAGTTAGTCCAATCCGAGACAATTCGGTGCAACAAACGCACCCTCAAGGTTTTGCACACACAGTCTCTCCCTAGTTTTTTCTTCTTCCCTTTTGCCGTTGGATTCAGGGTTAACATTTAAGCCGCACGAACAAAGCACTGGACCAAATTATGCACCTAATGTCTGCCCTCCACAAATCTCAATGACCTTGTCTCTCTATCTCTCTGTCTCTCTTTTTTTTTAGAAAGTCTTAACGAATCATTTTTTGTACTATTCACTTTTAACATTAAGAACATTTGTACTTTAAAAAGTTACTTCTGATCCTATTCACTTACAATATTTTTTTATCATTTTGATTAAAACTCAAAACTTTCAAACCATTTTCAATAGTTCTTTTTTTAATTCTTGCAAAAATTAAGGGCAGAGATCTGTCAATTTTTTTGCTGGATTTAAGCTCTCAGCCGCTTCTTTAATATGCATGAAAGCTACGTAGAAAAATATACCTTTTTTGTCAAAAAATAAAGAAAAAATATACGTCCACTCTGTATCATGAGCTCGGTTGATACAGAGAATAAAAAAATATATTAGATGCCGTGAAAGTTATTTTAGGATTCATTTGAATCGTTTTCGTAGCAAAAACACTAGTGTTCGTAAACACTTATGGTGAAAATATAATGTTTCATGAAAAATTATTAGAAGTGTTTCAGGAAGAAGCATCTAGTAGGTATTTCTCCATAAAATGACTAAAACGTATTTCTACTTTTTTTTGTCTGAGACACAATAAAACCTTTAATAACTTAGAGAAAAAAGTGCTTTCACTAAGTAGAATAACTTGGTCTAATCCGATGCCATAAGAATTTTAGAGCATCCAGCTTCCAAACAAAACTTTAGGTCATTTCCGAAGGCTGACCAAAGAGTTCGTTTTAGCCATCTGGTTCTTCAAGAAATTAATATTTTAATAAACAATGCAGGGCCATATTTTTTATCATCTCCAACCGAGGGCCAAATGACTATATGGCTCGTTTTAGCCCTGTCAAAAAACCGTCTCAAACTAAGAGCCAAACATAATTTATTATTTAAATTTAAAAACTACAATTACAACTACACTCATTATAATTGTCCCATTTTGGCTGTAGAAAATGAATGAGCAAGGAAACATGCTTATAAAATGAACACCCCAACTTTGACCAAATCACCTTTCCCGGCTCATTAAATATGATGTCAGCATGTGGCCTGCCCCGAGACTGGTTGGTTTGGACTAGCCGGTTGGGCTTTTGACATTTTTTTGTCCAGTGAAACCTATGAGCCCTTTGCCCTGACCTTAGATTAAAGATAATTTTCGAGCTATTTTCAGTTTTCTAACCTTTAGACCATTCGGTTGGAGGCCTTACATTCTCAATGTACGTAGGATTATATTATATATGAACTATTTGTTTAATTAATTGAAGACAAGTTTCAAGATAGTACGGGTCAAGTCTAGAGGAGGCCAATGGAACCCAATAAGATAATAAGAATAAAATGCTTATAATATGTTGAAAAGATCATTGCCGGATCATTTTTCTAAAAATCCGTCGTAATCATAATCGTTCATTGTATATCGTACTATCAGAAATTATTTTAAATTTTAAATTAAATATAAATAGTACTTAATAAAAACTGATCGTACGATATATGATAAACGGTTATGATTACGGGATTTCTAGATCCCAAGAAAAGAATCCGGCAAGATCCTTTTCCAGTTGAAACCAACCAAACAAAGTGCTTTTGCTCTTGTTATTTTATTGAAGAGAGAAAAATGATGACATTTAAAAAATAATATCCCCCATAACATATCTCGAATATATCCCAATGTCCAACTATTACGGGGTGGCTAGTGATTGAAGATGAACTTCATGCTTGTATTTCACATATTACATTCTGGATTCAATTCATGACGATGGTAGCCAGAAAACGTTTAAATGACTTTGTGAATCTTTTTGACCTCGAAAAAATAGACTACCTTGATGAAGCTACCATTTATATATCCGAATCTTTTCCACCAAATCCTACAGATCAAGTGATCGGAGCTCTTAAAATTTGATCAAACAACTAAAATTATTATAACTTTTAAAATGAACCTCTGTTTTTATAACCGTTGTGATCAAATTTCAAAAATCCAAATCACTTAATCCGTGAACTTTGGTGAAAAAGATCCAGAGATAATCTCTTTCCTATCCCCGCAACCAAATAAAAATGTACATATTTATCAAATCCCCCACTGTACCAAGTGAAATAAAAATCATAAAATAAAAAAGAAGAAATGGGAACAATATTCAACTTGCATCAAAATTAACAGCAATGCGCTAACCACTAAAATTTGATTTTTTTTTTATAAAAATTATAATAGTCAATTCATGATTGATCATGTCCTCCTCCAGTGTTGCCATGCACAACATTCGCCGCCATAGCCACCACTCCAAGCTTTTGCAAGTTCAACTTGATCACAGTGTCCACAAACATCTTTGTATCCTCCCCGGTGTTCCCTCCTGGTATGTCCACCACATACGACTCCAAAACAATCGAGTACACCTGATTATTCCCCTCCTCACCATCGCAATTAACGAACTCATTAACCGAAGTAACCGACCTATAGTTATTAAGCCTGTGCTCCCCTCCCATAACTCTAAAGCTTATTATGTGCTTCTCGTCGTCCAAAATCTCCAGCCTCTCGGTGCTCGTCGACGCCGGGAGCCCCGAAACCACCGTCACCTCCCTTATGCTCCCAACTCCGCCGTCGCCTTTCATGTTGCAGCTCTTGATGAAGTGCTTGTATTTTTTAGGGTTGTCGAAGTTCCGGACCAACGGCCAAATTTGCTGTGCCGGAGCTTCGATTTTCTGCGTTATTAGCGACGTGCATGTGTTCGGCGACGGCTCGAATTTGTGGTACGCGTCGATGAGGCCCTCCAGCTCGGAAAACTCAGCTAGGGTTAGACCATATGGCGGAGCGTGGCCAGCATCCATGTTTGTTTGCTCACACGTGTGAAAAAACCAACACCGAATTAATTAGAGCATAGAAGGAGAAGAAGAAAATGAATGAGAGCTAGTAGTTCTAGGGCAAGTGAACCATCATATGAACACGAGAGGGGGGCACATTTATGCTTGGAGGTATTTTTCTTTTAGGACGGATATGCCCTTGAGATGGATTTTATTTTAGTTTTTATTAAGTGGCCACTGATCAGTGGGATCTATCTATATCTGAGAAATTTTTCAGATTGTCGGTAATACGATCTGAACATAAAATGTATTCTACAAGTGATTGAAATTTTTTTTCTTAAAATATCCAATCACTTGTATTATGACATTTAGTGTACATAAGCGTGTTCTTAACACACTGAAAAATCTCTCAGTTTTGACAAATGCAATAATCTTTTACTTAAAAACTGTGTTTACTTCGAAATTAAGAGAATTAATAACCGCTATATTGAGAAATGTCTTGGTTTTAGCCAATGTCCGAATCCTGGATGATAAAACAAAGTTTGCAACTGGCTAGCAAGCAGCCAAGAAGATAACATGAGGTGGAAATTTCGTGAAAGCGTTGTTTATATTTATGAAATTTGAATAATACCTCATCAAAGTGGTTAGAATAATATTAGAGTACATAAGTTGGGAGCGTGATGATTCATCTTCCGTAGTTTCCAGAAAAATCTCGGTTTTTAAATAAAAATTCTTGCCTGCGTTATCAAAATAAAATTTTAATGGTATTTCTATTCTTAATGGTGTTAAGAGTTTTTTATTTTTTTTAATACAATGGTATTTTATAAAAAAAACTAATGAAAAGAGTTTCAAAACTTTAAGTTTTAATAAAAAATCATCTTATAACTTTATTTGATGATAAGGACAATAGAAAGAAAAAAAAAACCTAACTAAAGGTGCTTGTAAAGAGCACCCAACCAATCATTCAGTTGCATAACCCCTTGACATAATTCAAGCATATTTTATTCCTCTAAAATTAAAATTTCAAATTGAAGTGGTTTCTATTCGATTTAGAACTACATCTGGGGCGGTATGGTTGGGAGGGAGTCGGTCAAGTGTGGTGACACACCCCGATCTTGGTGTTCAAAGGACAACAGGATGGCCGACACCCGAGAGTGACGCAAGCCATTTCATGAATGCATATGTTGAGAACATGAGGAACATGCATAAAAAAATTTGCGCGTAACCACGTAATATAGTATTCAAATACAAACCTTAATAAAATATAGTAATCAATTGCCAATACATTTAAAAGTGATAATGCATGACATGTTCAGAACATATTACTAATTCAAAATACAAGCGGACAGAATATTAGAAAGTGTGATTACAAGAGATGTCATACACAGAGAAAGGGACACAAATTCATTGATATGGGAATGCCTCATAGCTTGGGTTGTATGCCTCGTTCTTAGGTCCTTAAGAGTGCGCAAAACAAACTATGAGTGGACCAAGTTTATATATAGTAATACTAAATCAATTACTCTTAAAATGTACTAACCCCTAATTTTAGAAAACTCATATATATCATAGTCAGAGAGGTGAGGGAGAGAGTTTTGAGAGAGATAGAGGGAAGTGACAGATAAAAGAAAAGGGGAAGGGGGATGCATGCATGGGTAAGGGGGAAAGAATAAAGGGACAAGGATCCAAAGTGGGTCCCAATGGCTCACAAATTAAGGTCACAAGAGACGAAACGTGGAAAGCTTGAAAACGTTTGACGTTTCGAAACATAAATCTTTGTTATAACTCCAAATTCGAATCCGTTCGCGTCAACACGTTCGTGACGATGAGTATGATAAGAATAAACTAAAATAAAAATTTAGTTATACATGTTTCGATGAGATGGTCAACGAAAGTCAACATTCTTGCCATGAGGGCATTTTGGTAAATGCACACTAATTAATAATACAAGAACATTAAATTAAGGACAGGGATTTGGGTTGGGATGGTTGGGGGTAGGGGTGGGGCAACATCATTGACAACATCGTTGGACTAATCACCATTTTTTCTAGTAATGGTATTGAGCTATTAGCCATGCATGACTTTAAGAGCATGGACGTTGATCGCTATCATTTTTTATTATCCTTTTATTGCATTATGGTGAAATAACTTGAAAATCTGGGATGAGCATTTACTATTAAGTTTTATAAATAGTGTAATATTGTTAAGTTTCATAAACAGTGTTGTACAGTAGTTTCATAAACAATGTAGTAAGTTTCATAAACAATGTAGTGAATTTCATAAACAGTGTAATAAGTTTCATAAACAGTTTGTGTGAGAGCGCGGGTTCGCACGTCAGTTTTTTTTTTTTTTTTAAATATTAAAATGATGTCTTTTTTATTAAAATTTAAGTTTTTTGGTCCCTTTTATTAAAATTTAAGAGTTTTTCGTTAAAATTTAAGTATTTTTCATTACATAAAGTTATAGGATGATTTTTTTTATTAAAATAAACTTAGTCCAAGCCCTTTTTATGAAAGTTTCCTATTTTATATTATAGAAGTGAGGAATTTGGGGCATTGCTTGGGTGGTAAGTTGCCTAATCAGTCTTTCTTTTCAGTTTAGTGTGTTCCGGGTTCAAGGGATGAGGAGTGTAGATTTCGATAGTTTTCATTAACAAGAATCGAACAAAAAAATTTCCACTTAAAATTGAAGATAAATAATACTAAAACGTACTACTGTAGCAAAAAGTTTAAAGCTAATATCCTATTCTTTTTGTTGATTAAAATTTTGAATTCATCATTCATATAAATTAAACCTAAATTTTGAATTAAGCGTACTTTAGAGTATATAAAAACAAGCTAGATCTCTACCAAATTGCCTAACTTTGAAAGCCAAAACCCAATATTTAAAATTAAATTAGTATCTTGGACGAGTTTATTTGATTTGTCAACTCATGATTTGGAACAACCACTTAGTATTACGATATAGTGGTATTCCTCTTTACTTGTAAGTGATGGGTTTTAGGTTCGATTTTCGCCAAAGGTAAATTTGAACCACATTATTGATAGCCCATTATGAGGTTTAATGCACTCATCCACCCATTTAGTGCAGATTGTACTGTTGGTTCAAAAAAAAAAAAAAAAAACTCATGATTAGGAACAAGATTATTACTTAATTTCAAACAACTCATGCATATCCATGTCTTCCTTCTTTTGGATTGATGCGTGTATGTTAATTGTCTCGATTAAAACTCAAACGAAAATTAGTTAGCCCATCTGATCATCAAAATTGGATTAGTACTTAGAGGTAGCTGGTGATAATTTTGGGAGGGGCATGCATGTAAATTTGTGAAAATGTCAGGGGTAGATATGGTAAAACAAGAAAAAGGACAAAGAGACTGGGTGTAGTCGCAATCGTTGAAAAGGGTAGCTGGAGATTCATGTATCATGTGACAACCCTAACAAACTCCCGCGTGATATCTAAATTCAGCTTTATCAAAGCTGTCGAATTTTTGCGACCAAAAAAAAATATATGAGGTAAAAGTCGTTGTAACAAGGGATAATGGAAATCTAATCGAAATCAAGATAACCAATCAAGTTGTAAACCCCCTTCAAAGTAGTTTATCCGTTTTAAAGTTTGTTTAATATGAACCGTATATAATTTTCGACGAGGAGAAGATTCGTCATAGAAACTTTAAAGATGAATATTTAGCCGTACATCAAGCTGTTTGTTATTTTAGTGTTTGTTTAAACAGTTTAATAAAGAAATTAAGACTTGTCTAGTAATGAATACGAATGAATTTATAATGTGTTGTTGTTGGTTGCAGGGATAGAACACTTTACATCCTTTTTGGTTTGAACATGTGTTATGATGCAGTCGTGGGGTTCTTGGATTCAATTCCAAAACACAGCAGATCATGTTTTGGCATTTTCTTTTATAATAAATTGATAGATGGATCGATGATATTCCGTTCTTCTCGAAACAAAACTGCTTAATATTGGTAAATTTGACGTATTAATTTTCAGTATATTATGGATGTAAACTCCGTCATTCAATACATAACGGACAATTTGCGCATAAACTTCCTATATTTAATGGGTGTTGTATTTCTATATTTAATGGTGCAACAACTAATCATCTTGTATGGTGGCCATGCAGTCATGCTTATCTGGGGTTCTTGGTTGTATGCCGGGACCTAAGCAGCGCTAAGGGAGAATTTTTATGATTGATTTTATTGGTATTGTATGTGTGTGAGTGTGTGTATAGTATAATAGAAATGGTGCAACAACTACTCAACTTGTATGGTTGATTTTAGTGGTATTGTATGTGTGTGAGTGTGTGTGTGTGTGTGTGTGTGTGTGTGTAGTATAATAGAAATGGTGCAACAACTACTCAACTTGTATGGTGGCCATTCAATCATGCTTATCGGGGGGTCTTGGCTTCACGCAAAGTGGAGAGAAAAGAAGAAAGGAAACAGATAACATACAGCTCTGCATATATGGCTGTATGCTGAAATCTATGCGGACTTTGGATAATAATTTTCATTTTCCAGATATTCGGTTTTTTTTTTTATCTTGTTTTATATTATTGAATTTCAAGGTTTGTATATATTTCATAAACTTTACAAGAGAGAGAACAAAGCTCTTATAAAGAGCCGGAGAACAAATTACAAGATAGTGGACTTTTTACCACTACCCACCAAATGGTTTCTGCCCTTAGAAACCGGACACACCAAGGATAGAACAAATAACAATATACAATTAAGCAAATCCCAGATTTTAGGGAGAAACATTGACAAAAAGAAAAGTATGATAGAACAAGAAGTGAGATGACAAGTTAGAAGGTTGTAGCCATCACTTTAACCCATAACTTAGCTATAGTGATATTTACAACCCATACTTGTGACTTTGATCTATTTCAACACTCCCCCTCAAGCTTGGATCGAGGAGATTGATTGATCCAAGCTTGGACAAAGGACCTTGAAACACGGCAGTCGCCAATGGCTTGGTGAAGAGATCAGCAAACTGACAAGAACTCGGAGTGTAACGAGTTTGTATGATATTTGATTGAACCTTTTCACGGATTTAATGGCAGTCAACCTCAATATGTTTGGTCCTCTCATGAAAAATAGGATTATAAGCTATATGCATGGGCTGCTTGGTTATCACACATGAGAGTCATTGGTTGAGAGCTAGGAAACACTAAATCAGAAAGAAGGCATTTGAGCCAGATTAATTCACAAACAGTAGTTACCATAGCCCTATACTCGACCTCAGCACTAGATCGAGCAATCACACTTTGCTTCTTGCTTTTTCAACTTACCATATTACCTCCAACAAAAATACAGAAACCAGTAGTTGACTTGCGATCCAAGGAGTTGCATGCCCAGTCCGCGTCAGTGTAACCAAGAATGTGAGTGTGAACATTGTTTTGCATCAAAAGACCACGTCCCACATAACCTTTCAAGTATCGCAATATTCTCTTAACAACTTGCAAATGATCCATTGTTGGAGAATGCATAAATTGACTCCCAAGGCTGACAACAAAGGCAAGGTCCGGCCTTGTTATTGTAAGATAAATAAGCCTCCCAACTAACCTTTGGTAGTAACTGATATCAGTGAGTGTTTCTTCATCCATGGTCATTTTGTGTTTGTAGTCAAGGGGTGTAGAGGCAGGCTTGCAATCCAACATATCAGCTTCTTGAAGCAAATCGAGAATATACTTCCGTTGATTCAAAAACATTCCCTTCTTAGAAGTTGCCATTTCAATGCCAAGGAAATATTTGAGTGTCCCAAGATCTTTGATGGCAAACTTCTTCTTGAGGGTGTTCTTTAGTAACACAATTTCACTGGCTTTATCACCAGTGACAATGAGATCGTCCACATAAATAAGAACTACTAGGGTTTCACTGGGACAAATTCGAACAAAGAGAGATGAATCTGCATTGCTTCTCTTGAAGCCAACTTTTTCAAGAACTGAGCTCAACTTTGAATACCAAGCACGAGGAGATTGTTTTAATTCGTAAATGGATTTATGCAATTTGCATACCAACTCGGGGTCACTGTATTGAGGATGACCAGAAGGAAGTTTCATGTAAACTTCTTCTTCAAGTTCACCATTCAGAAATGCATTTTTAACATCCATTTGATATAGAGGCCATGCATGGTTAATTGCAACAGATAACAACACTCAAATTGTGTTTATCTTAGCTACATGAGCAAAGGTCTCCTTGTAATCTATCCCAAAAGTTTAAGTAAAACCACGAGCTATTAGTCTAGCCTTGTGTCTTTCCAAGGTGCCATCAGAATGGAACTTGGTTTTGTACACCCATCTACTTCCCACTGCCTTTTTCCTGGTGGTAGCTTGATAACACTCCACGTTCTATTGTCATCTAGGGCTTTCAACTCTTCCTTCATAGCTTTCTTCCACTCATCTTGCTGCATTGCCTCCTGAAAACTTCTTGGTTCAGAAGCATTGGTTATGGAATTGAGAAAGGCTGCATGCTTGGGTGCCACCCTTTGGTATGAAAGGTACTTAGCAACGGGATACCTTGCATTGTAAGTCACATAATCCAGCAGCCTTGAAGGAGGTTGACGATTATGAGAGGGTTTTTTCTTCCTTGAGGCAAGATAGGTGATGATTCTGGGTCCTCAGGAGGTGAGTGAGACGTAGGTGACTGAATTGATGGTTCTAGCAGGATTTCCTCTTCATGACTTAGAGAATTCTCATGTTCTCTGTCAGTGGACATGAATATATTTTCATCACTGGTTGTTGGTCTTGGTAAAGGGAAGATTTCGAAGGCATTCTCCCCCTAAGTTAAACCCTTCATTGATTGTTCAAAGAAAGGTGTAGTTTCATCAAACTTTACATCCCTTGAGATGATGATTTTCCTTGAAGAAGGATTGTAACACTTGTAACCTTTTTGTGTTGAAGAATATCCCAAGAAAACACATTTGCTAGCTCTTGGGTCAAGCTTGTCACGGTGTATTGAAGCAACATGAACATAACAAGTACAACAAAAAAAATTTCAAATGAGACAAGTCAATCTTTCTTCCTTTTAAGACTTCGTAGGGTGATTTTTGATCCAACACCCTACTAGGCAGTCTATTGATCAAATAGGTAGCAGAAAGCACCCCTTAAGACAAAAACTTCTTGGGAACATTCATATGTGACATTAAGGCTCTAGTCTTTTCAAGCAAATCCCTATTTTTCCTCTCTGCCACTCCATTTTCTTGAGGAGTGCTAACACAACTTGTTTGATGGAGTATCCCATGGGAACTTAAGTATGGAGACATGTTATTTGACATGTACTCAGTGCCATTATCAGACCTTAAGGTGTGAATATGACAATCAAAATGAGTTGTTACAAGTTTATGAAAATCTTTAAACACATTCATGACTTCACTCTTGCACTTTAAAAGGTATAACCAAGTAATCCTTGAATAATCATCCACAAACGTTACAAAGTATTTATAACCATCAAAAGATTCAATTGTAGGTCCCCAGATATCTGAATGAACAAGTTCAAATAATTTACTAGCTCTAGACACTGAGGAATTGAAAGGTAACCTAGTAGATTTGGAGAAGTGACAAGTATCACACTCCAAACTACCTTTACATATTGTGGGAAACAAAATGGATAAAAGATGGTTTGAGGGATGAGCAAGACGATGATGCCAAATTAGTTGTTCTTGAGAAAGGCTTGAGTTGACTTGAAGACTCTTAGGTTTTGGAAGATTTTTTGAAAGATAGTACAACCCATTTAGGAATAAACCCTCACCAATCTTCCTCTTGGTGACTATATCCTGAAAGATGACCTGATCAGAAGAAAAAATAGCATGACAATTTAGTTGTCTTGTGATTTTTCCTACTAATAAAAGATGAAAAGGAAATGAAGTAACATACAAGGCTGATGACTCTATTTGATCAGAGATCAACTTAATTTTCCCTTTTCCAACAACCGAGACACCCTTACCATTTGCTACTGACACTTGTGAAGAGTTTTTCATTTTTTCGAAGACATATAAATGTGAAGATTTGTTTGTCATATGGTCTGTGGCTCCTGAGTCTATTATCCAATAATCATGCACAAGACTAGCATTTAAAGCAGTGGAGAAAGCTTTCAATATACCTGAAATTTGTTTACTTGAGCCTCCATGATCAGAATCAGCAAGAAACCCATCAAATTTGCTCAGCAAGGCAGTAAGGCTTTAAATTTTAGTTCCAGTTGTATTCTCTAGATCTCCACTTCTTTGTCTCCCTTGTAAATAGACAACAAATTCGTTGATCAAGTTCACTGGATTGGAAGTGAAGTCAAGCAAGCTTTCACTTGAGGAAGCAGGAGTAGCTAAAGCTGCATGATTAGCCTTGTATAAGGATGGTTGTGAGTTTCTCTTGAGCCCCTTGTTCTTTTGGAAGTTTGGCTTGAGCTCAGGATGTAGAATCCAACATTTATCAATGGTGTGTCCACCATAGTTGCAATGTTTGCACTTCAGGTCAAACCTTTTGCCTTTGTCTCTTCTATCATCCGAGAACTTGTGGTTTGAAAAGTATGCCCTAGACTCAGGCAATCTGTTTTTGGTTTCAAGATTCATCACTTTCCTTTGAGTTTCTTCACGTTGAATAATGGCACATACACTTGAGAAGGACGGTAGCTCACTGTTCATCAGAATGTGATTATGTAGATCTTTATAGTCTGAGCTAAGACTAGCCAAGAGTTGAAAAATCTTATCTTCTTCAGCTCTCTTCAGAAGCACGGAAGCATCTATGGTGTGAGACCTTTATACATCAAGCTCATTCCACATGCTCTTGATATCACCCAAGTGTTGAACAAAAGACTTACTTTCTTGTTGCAAACCTGCAAGCTCCCTTTTTAGTTGAAAAATCCGAGCAGCATTGTTTTGATTTCCATACATCTCGCAGACATTTTTCCAGAGATGGAAGGAAGATTCTGAATAGCTGAAGATCTCAGTTAGCTTCCTCTCCATGGAGTTGAGAAACCACGACATGACAAGTTGATCCTTGCATAGCCATGTCCCATATAAAGGTGATGAAGTTTTAGGTGCCTGAATGGTTCCATTTACGTAACCAAGCTTTGATCTTCCACCGAGAGCAAGTGAAACTGCTCGAGACCATGGAAGATAGTTGAAATCATTCAGCAAAACTGAGTCTTTGATTTGGATTAACTTCTACTTCGGTAAAATTTGAAGTGGGTGAAACACTAGAGCTTGCAGTATCAAGACTAGGAGGATTTTCCTCAGCCATTTGAAACAACTATGGAAAAACAAAGAGGTTGAAGAAGATGATATGCAGAGACATGCCACTGTGGTCACTGCTCTGATACCGTATTGAATTTCAAGGTTTGTATATATTTCATAAACTTTACAAGAGAGAGAACAAAGCTCTTATAAAGAGCCGGAGAACAAATTACAAGATAGTGGACTTTTTACCACTACCCACCACATGGTTTTTGCCCTTAGAAACCGGACACACCAAGGATAGAACAAATAACAATGTACAATTAAGCAAATCCCAGATTTTAGGGAGAAACATTGACAAAAAGAAAAGTATGATAGAACAAGAAGTGAGATGACAAGTTGGAAGGTTGTAGTCATCACTTTAACCCATAACTTAGCTATAGTGATAATTACAACCCATACTTGTGACTTTGATCTATTTCAACATATATGATAGTTTAAGTTGCTTAAAGTCTGTCTCCAATACAAAATGACCAAAGTTTATCTATGTATTTATGATGGGCTAACTTTTGTGTGGACCATGTATTTACTGTATAGGACTCTCGTATTTTAGAGAAAAAGAAAAAGAAAAATGAGAATCGATGAAATTAATATATAAGAACTTTTATATGTACAGTGAATACATGGTCCTATACCAATCTCGTATTTGCTACAGCTGAGCGGGATCCCATGAAGCTGCTCTCCGCTTAATATAATGTTTTCAAGTTTGGTTCATATATATGTAATATAGATTCTTCTGGCTGCAGGTGGGGCTGATTAATCTGAACGTTTTATCTAAACCTATTGAAGTTTCCAGCAGCGCTAATATTCCATATCGGTGTCCTTCAAACCCTCTTATGCGTTTAATGTCGAAATTTGAGCCTACTTCTTCTTCATCAACTTTAGCTGCAGTGCTGCCTGCACCTGCAGCGGCAGCGGCAGCTTCTCCTCCTGATTTAGAACTTAAGCTTTGCATCTCCGATGCCCTAGCTAGGAAGTTGGAAACACACTACTACACCATGCATTGAGCTCCTTTTCTAGAAACTAGTTTGTAAATTGTATGCCTTTTTGGAAACCTAATGGTCAATTTTGTTAATGCATGCATGGCCATGTAGCTAGCAGAAACTTGTCGTCCATGCACTACTTCTAAGAAATATCTCAGTTGCTCGTCCTAGCTTTGATCGTGATTTTGATCCAGAAATATCCATACGAATATCTGGTTTATGTTTTTGATAAGCTAGTTTTGCACACATATCACACTGTGATTGACGAGAATGCAACAATTTCTGCTTTCAGGAAAGGAAAAGAGCAATATCCATAAGAATATGGGTGCTTTCATTGTTTATAGTCAATTTTTCAGGAAGATGTTGTGAATGGCCAGCAACTTTTGTTCATGTACTACAAGATCAGTACTTATGGTGCATTTGCTCCAAAAGCTGTAATGTGGGACCCATTTCGTAATGTTTTTGACGATTCAAACTGTCAATCTTTTAAAATATCACTTATAGATCATACTTTCAAAAAATTAGATAAATCCAAAACATTAAGACATTCATGTGTAGTGAAGAAAATAGACAAATATGATTCTACAAAGAAACCCTCAATCTAACGGTTTTTAAGAAAAACTTGAAAAATAAACAGTTCAAATCGTTGAAAGCATTACAAAGTAAACTCCACAACAACGTGTATAAAAAAGTGATGCCAAATATTCTTCCCAAACAATCGTACCCCAGTAATTATTTAGGTCTCTTCCCTCGATCAGAGACAACAGCTGGATGGGTTTCATCCCCCATTTATTATTATTATTATTATTATTATTATTACTTGGGAGCAGCCTCTCCATAAATGGGGGTAAGGCTAGCCGACATTCACCTCTCTCAGACCCTGCGTAAAGCGGGAGCCTTGTGCACTGGGTACGACCTTTTTTATTATTATTATTATTATTATTTAATGTAGTTGGGATTTTACCTTAACGAAACAAAATGTGAACAACGTGTTTTTTTTTTTTTGGTCGAAAAAAAAAAAACCTGTCATTATTAATTGGACAATTCAAGAATTTTGTTGGTTTTCTTCGCTAGTAGTCTCAGCTGATCTCACGACTTACCCTATGAAGGAGACGAAAATATTAATATAGGAAAGAGTAGCATGGACTTGAGTAGCACCAAAAAATGATGAAAGCGATAAACACGTGCTTGTATACAAATATTGAAGATACAAAAATCCCACCGGCCAAAGTAATATATCGACGGTGATGTACCGGTACTCATTTCAAGGTCACAAGTAGACGACTAGGATAATTGAAATTCCAGAAGGAACGAAAACCCATTTAATTTAGTGTGAATGTTTACAATTAAGCTTTAGACAAAGGAAGGAGGTATGATATACAGATTACTTGATGTATCCAAAATTACAAGACAAAATTATGTTACAACTCCAAAAGAATTAACAGTGGGAAAGAATGAATACTATAAAGGTAAAGCATCATTGTGTTATTTCTTTCAGCAGTTAGATAGTCTCTTCTCTTTTCTGTTCTGTCCATTACTTCGGCTCGATTTGAACTGTTGACTTAGGCCGGTAATGTGAAACGGAAATTACTCCAAGTAGGTTTGTATGAGAAGTAAAGAAAATAGTTACCTCCTCCTTATCAACTCCACTGGAACCACTCCCCAAATGCGGCTGGAGTAAAAACATTGCGGGTAAACCGGAGATTGCCTTTACAGTTTTTCCTTTATACAGAGATCACGAATCATGCGATTCTCGGACCATCAAAATGACACGTTTGCCACTATCTGAGCGAAGGTTATCTCCTTTAAAACCAATCTGAAGTCGGCAAACATATGTAAGAGACGTCAAGATAAAGATGTAACACATGCGTGGAATAGTTGATTTCGATCAAGTTGTATGGAACCATTTCTACAATTGAGTTTTAAGTCAATACCTCAACAGCACCATCAGGAGGGAACCATCTTAAAAGCACACCAAGATGCACTAAACCAGGAATTAGCTTGAATAGAAAAGGAGTGGTCACCTGCAATAGATTTCAGAAAATGTGTCGGAAAACACTATTATACGAGATGCCATTGCTAAACTTCATATTCATGACCATTTTTTTTCTCTGCTTCAGAGAATCGGGTGATCTAACTCTTTTTTCATCAACAAAACCACATGCATTAGGGCCAAAAAAAGAGCCAGGTACATAAGTAACAAGAACGGACTAAAAAAATAACATTAAAACACTGAACAGAGAGATTTTTCATACCAGACTAAGAGCTGTGGTTCCAAGAAGCAGCAGATATAATTTCCCCTGAAAATGGTCGAAGTTTCAGCAAACTAGCTCGTTATTATCACACTATTTTTTCTAACAAGATTGAAGTTAGAGATCCAGAGAACACAGCCAGTGATGTACCGTGGGCCTAAAGTATCATCATAAGCTACTTCAATAGTTGCACTTACCTCGACTAGATGGAGATTAGAGGCACGACTTAGAAGAACAAAAGCAAATTCGCCTATCTGTGCCAGAGAAATTCCAACCTATACAATTACAAATACAAGAATTCAATAAATGTGAACAACTAAATTACTAGAAAGAAGCAATATGAAAATGTGACCTTCAAATCAAACTTACAAGAAATGATGTTTTGTTGTTGTAACCAAATCCCTTGACAACCATGGTGATAATAATTGTTTTTATGATGATAACTAATATAACAGATGCTAGTAATATATCAACATGGTTCCAGAGAAATTGAACATGGATTAGCATCCCGATGCTGGCAAGAAAAAGAGCAGCAAAAAGGTTGCGGATGGGTTCAATCTGCAACAAGCAACAAACTTCAGTGCTGCTATCTTACTATCAAGGAACTTCAACATTATGAGCAACAATTTATCGTCCACATATGGACCACAAAAGTAACCGTATAATGACTATGATACTGCCAGTTGTACTATTTTTTATGCCAGAAAACTTATATGTATAATGCATCTCAAAAATCAGAATGGGGGTGAAGGAATTTCATTTTTCCAGCTGACACGTCCCGACCCCGATATTCTCTGAATACCCGGATAGGCACGTGCTGGTCGACACCTGAGGGTGACGAAAGCGATTTATTGATTACAAGACTAATGATTAGGAGGAACATAAGCATGAATAGTCATTAAAATCTAAGAGTAATAAACAAAGCTTAAGGAAATGTCTAGAGTGCACAAAACACGATCTAATTCAAGATTTACAAAAGGAAAGATCATCTCGCCGACTCGTTGCTTGAGCCTTCACTAGAAGACCCGACCTGGTTGTTTAAAGGAAAAAGAATGTCTAGGACCTACAAAACTGGAGGGGCCTATTGATTCTCTGGTACTCCACGACCGGAAATTCCGACTCTTCTGATTTTGATTCCGCTGCCTATTCTGTCTCTGGGGCTGGATCCAAGTCTGAGGTTGATCTCGCATGTCCGTATCCCACTTAGATTGTTCTATACTCAGACTTATCTCGATTACTTCCTCATAAGTTTTGGGTCTTTGAGCAGCTACCAATGTACGGTACTCCTGGTTCAGTGCAAGCATTGCCTGATCCATCTGTGCCTGCGGATTATCATAAGTCCCATCATGATACCTAGCCAAGCGCCTGAAAGTACTGTCAAATTTTGTGATGCTGAGGTCACCCTGTAGGAACTCTAAACACTCTTCCTTAATATGTAGTTGGGGCTTAGAAAGTAAGTAATAAAACGTTTCCTGAAGGCAGCCTAAGTCATCCAAGAACCAGGTGGACGAGATTCCTTCGTTGATTTCCACCAACTCCTAGCATCACCATGAATAAAGAAACCTGCAGTGTTTGCCCACTCATTTAACAGACACTTCATAGCCTCTAAAGTATCATCCATTTTCTCTAACCACTGCTCAGCCTCCTCACAATTTCCCACAAATTTCAACTCAGTAACTCCATGACTTCTAGCGATTTCTAAATACGTCCGATTCGGCCTATGACCTGGAAGAACATTCATTAGTGCAGTGGTAAACTGCTGGATTCCCCCCATTATAGAAGAACAACGTCGTTGAGGCACATTCCCACCATGATTCTGACAAAGACAACAAGATTTAGAAAGACTGAAATTTACCAAATTGGTGGAAAGAAACCCTAACCATGCTCTGATACCAATCTGACATATCTCGGCCCGGGTCCACCACCGTAGCACGATATTGTCCGCTTTGGGCTTACCATTCCCTTACGGTTTTGTTTTTGGGAACTCACAAGCAACTTCCTAATGGATCACCCATCCTGGAAGTGCTCTGGCCTCCTTCTCGCTTAACTTCGGAGTTCCTACGAAACTCGAAGCCAATGAGCTCCCAAAAGGCCTCGTGCTAGGTAGAGATGGAAATATACATTTAAGGATCACTCCCCTGGACGATGTGGGATGTTACAATCTATCCCCCTTAAAAGAAATTTCGTCCTCAAAATTGCGAATTTACACGAAAAGAAAGGGATACAGGTTCCTCATTGATTCCTGTTTCCCAAGTAGCTTCTTCGACTGCATGGTTCCTTAAATGTATATTCCCACATCGCCCAGAGGAGTGATCCTTAAATGTATATTCTCATCTCTACCTAGCACGAGGCCTTTTGGGAGCTCACTGGCTTCGGGTTCCGTAGGAACTCCGAAGTTGAGCGAGAAGGAGGCCAGAGCACATCCAGGATGGGTGACCCACTGGGAAGTTGCTCGTGAGTTCCCAAAAACACCGTGAGGGAATGGTAAACCCAAAGCAGACTATTGTGCTACGGTGGTGGAACAGGCCCGGGATGTGGTGGACCCGGGTCGGGATGTGACAATTGGTATCAGAGCATGGTTAGGGTTTCTTTCTACCAATTTGGTAAATTTCAGTCTTTCTAAATTTTGTTGTTTTTGTCAGAATCATGGCTAATCCTGGTGGGAATGTGCCTCGACAATCTCGTTCTTCTATAATGGGAGGAATCCAGCAATTTACCACTGCACTAATGAATGCTCTTCCAGGGTCATAGCCCGAATCGGACGTATTTAGAAATCGTTAGAAGTTATGGAGTTACTGAGTTGAAATCTGTGGGAATTATGACAAGGCTGAGCAGTGGTTAGAGAAAATGGATGATACTTTAGAGACTATGAAGTGTGTTAAATGAGTGGGCAAACACTGCAGGTTTCTTTATTCAGGGTGATGCTAGGAGTTGGTGGAAATTAACGAAGGAATCTCGTCCACCTAGTTCTTGGATGACTTGGGCTGCCTTCAGGAAACGTATTATTACTTACTTTCTAAGCTCCAGCTACAAATTAAGGAAGAGGCAGGAGTATTTAGAGTTCCGACAGGGTGACCTCAGCATCACAGAATTTGACAATACTTTCAGGCGCTTGGCTAGGCATCACGATGGGACTTATGATAATCCACAGGCACAGATGGATCAGGCGATGCTTGCATTGAACCAGTAGTACCGTACATTGGTAGCTGCTCAAAGACCCAGAACTTACGAGGAAGTAATCGAGATAAGTCTGAGTATAGAACAATCTAAGTGGGATATGAACATGCGAGATCAACCTCAGACTTGGATCCAGCCCCAGAGACAGAATAGACAGCGGAATCAAAATCAGAGGAGTCGAAATTTCCGGTCACGGAGTACCAGAGAATCAGTAGGCCCTTCCAGTTCTGTAGGTCCCAGACATTCTGTTTCCTTTAAACGACCAGGTCGAGGCTCAAGGTCTTCCAGTGAAGGCTCAGGCAACGAGTCGGCGAGATGATCTTTCCTTTTGTAAATCTTGAATTAGACCGCGTTCTGTGCACTCTAGACATTTCCTTAAACTTTGTTTATTACTCTTAGATTCTAATGACTATTCATGCTTATGTTCCTCCTAATCATTACTCTTGTAATCAATAAATGGCTTTCGTCACCCTCAGGTGTCGGCCAGCACGTGCCTATCCGGGTATTCAAAGAATATCGGGGTTGGGACGTGTCAAATTGGTATCAGAGCCAATCCCTGGCCGGAAGTGTGCCGACGAGGACGTCAGGCCCCTAAGGGCGGTGGATTGTAACATCCCACATCGCCCAGGGGAGTGATCCTTAAATTTATATTCCCATCTCTACCTAGCACAAGGCCTTTTGGGAGCTCACTGGCTTCGGGTTCTGTAGGAACTCCGAAGTTAAGCGAGAAGAAGGCCAGAGCACTTCCAAGATGGGTGACCCACTGGAAGTTGCTCGTGAGTTCCCAAAAACAAAACCGTGAGGGAATGGTAAGCCCAAAGCGAACAATATCGTGCTACAGTGGTGGAATGGGCCCGGGATGTGGTGAACCCGGGCCGGGATGTGACACCAGCAGATGAAACAAGATAAACAAGGAAGATCAGTTGAGCAATTCAAGTACCGTTACTAATCATACAGTATAAAGTATGTAGCCTTACTTGTTCTAGAGTATGTTGTGCAAGATCAGTTGTTGATCATCACTCCCGCAGCGAAGGAACCCAGTTCCAGACTTAGTCCCAGCTTATCACTACACTGAAATTGTAAAAGCAATTAGACTACAGTGGCATGACTAGAATCTGACATGCATGTCAGGCAACTAAAGCATTCAACTATCTTACATCATTTCAATAGACTCATAAGATGCACAAGGACCCTATTAACCGATGCTGAGGGTCTATGCGTACATAGTAGGACTAGGACATATTGACCAATTTACGGAAGTTGAGGGAGCAAAAATTTGTAGCCGAAAATTATTCTTAGGTCATCAGTCAATCCGGCTTGCTATAAAATTAAGTAAAACACCAGATGTAATGCTCCTAATGCATTAGAAAAGTAACTTTTAAAAATGGAAAACAACCAATAAGTATTAATGAAAGAAACACGAATGAATATGATTCTATAGCAAGCAGAACATGAGAAATGAGAAGTTCGGCAAGATAGAACAAGGATTCCAGGCAAATAAATCGAGAAGGAAACATACCCAGGCAACAAGCAAGCAGAAAGCGACTGATGCCAATTGGTAGAGTTCATTGGTCTGCAAAGATGACATTTAAAATTAACGAAAAATGTAGCTTACAGATAATTAGCAATTTTCTAAGACAAAGAAAAGAAAACGGTACCTGTGAAGATAAACTTATCATCAATTTAAGTAACCAAGGAACACAAGTACGAGATGAAATAGAAAGAACAGCCAAAAATGTAATCAACGTCACCATCCTGTTTAAAGAAAAATATGATGTTGTAAACATATAACCAGCATACAGATTTGTCACTAATTAAGTAATTTTATAGAAAAGAACAAGAAAGATTGTAAATATCTTCAGAACTTCATCTTCATTAGTATAAAATCAATATATGATTTAAACATCAAGCTAGTGTATACTACAAACATATCAAGTGAATATAATACATTTTTTTTAAAGATTGTTCCACAAGGGAAAGGAACAGACACAATTAAAAGAAACACGAAAACTCACAGCTTAGCCATAGATATCACTCCTTGAAGAATACCCGAAGTCCCACCCAGAACTGGAAGCAAAGCAAACAGCAAACCCACAGCACAATCCTGTAAAGCAAAATCCTCTCCACACATATTTAGAAGATTGACAAATCAGTGCTAAAATGCAGAAATTAAAAGTTCAAAATGGAAACTGAAAGTACATCAAAGGAATGCGTATATAAAACCAACAAACCTGCAGAATAAGGGTGCCAATGGTGACTTGGCCATGAAGGGCATTAGTGGAGTTCTTTTCCATCAAAAATTTTAACACCTAGGGCCAGAATAAAAAATATTGACCTGTGAATACTATGCATATAAGAAAATGGATATATAAGAGTGAAAGAGCCTGCAAAGCTATGCGAACGTCGGCATGCATGAGGTAGGTTTATGGTAATTTACCACTGCTGTTGAAGACATAGAAAGGAACACGCCAACAAATATCCCCTCAGAAACTTTACCACCACATAACTGCAAACAGCATCCAATCAGAACTGCAGCATTGAGAATGAGAAACATCTATAACAGTACATTGACAGAACATTTAGCTTGAAAAACTAATGTTGAGAAAATTTATTGGAAGTGCACACTTGCATATACCAGATATAGTAAACTATTACAAATTACTTGAGGAATCAACGTAGAAAAAATACACGAATGTATCACAACTCTATGTTCTAGTTTTGAATGGATATTTCAATAGCCAGAAATTAAGGTGGAGATGTTTTCACATGTAAGATAGATGTAAGCAAGCACAAACTTTTTAAGGAAGTCTGTAGAAAATTAGTAGACATACTGAGGCGGTAATACCACACAGGCACATAAATAGGAAGATTTGTAGCAGCCCTCCTGGAACAGCAACTGCTCGAACAACTCGAAGCTACAATAATGCAAGGGTGAATTTGACTATACTCAGCTATAAGCATATCAAAACTGCAGAGAGAGAGAGAGAGAGAGAGAGAGAGAGAGAGAGAGAGAGAGAGAGGAGGGAGAGAGAGGGAGGGCGAGAGTCTACCTTTGCTGTGGAGAACTCCAGGCCCAGAGCGAAAAGAAGAAAGATTACCCCAAACTGAGCCACAGTTTCAACCTGCACCCATAAACCAGAGCCAAAACGGATGTGAGACATACAAATATCTTTCCATCAGAAGAATACATTAACAATCAAATAGAACAAATCCTATCTCTAAGATAAAGTATTGTTTCTTTTATTATTTCACTACAGAAGCATACTTAAGATGCCTTACCGAAAACTTTTTATTGTACACTACAAGATTAAATGAAAAAGTTCTTGGATAATAAAATTGTAGGGTAAAGTAAACATACTTGAACCATTTCACTGACGAAGTTGAAACCTCCAGGTCCAATAACAGATCCAGCTAGCAAATATCCACTAATAACCTGTCAAGTGTATCAAGGAAACAGAATATGAACATTAAGTAAGATCATAGCATTATATTTTCTCTATGAAGTTTGGAAATATATGTAGACGTGTATGTATGCGTGAATGTATGTATCAGACCGGTTGTCCAGCGCAAGCAAAGGCAATGCCACCACAGGTTGCAGATACAATAACGACCACCAAATCTGATATTAATCTACAATGCAACAAGTAGATGAGTTCAAATTAGCACTTTTGTTTAGTGAAGACCAATGAACTTTACGAAACTGTAATAAGCCAGTAAGTTTACCTCAAGTCTAGTTGCAGCACTGGATATTTTGATTTAAAATTTGATATAATGAAGACATTGTCCTAAAAATATTAAACAGAGTTACACTTAGGATCATGAAGATAAATACCTGCAGCAATTATATTTTCCATGAAGCAATCTTACCTTGCGATCAATCAGCGTTGGTGTATCTTCACCTCTATTATCATTATCCAGATTGAAAACATCATGTAGTTGAAACGACCTGTTTATTCTGCAACAGAGTTAGCGTGAAACAAGCCATAATGGCTAGATTCAAGTGACAAAGAATACATGAAAAATTGTACTCATTTTAAATTATAAGCATGTACTTTTCTTCTTTCGTCTCATTTTTCTTCGACTTTACTCTCGCAACTGTTTCCAAAACTGCCTGATCCACACAAAGATAGGTAAATAATGAAATTAGAAACACTTACAACATATTGCATTTGAGACCAAATCAAGTTTGCATCAAAACATTAGATTGCACTATATATGCACCAGCAACCCATGAATTACGATAAGAAATGGTTGAATGTAAAGGTTTCAAATTTCTTGAATAAAACGGAACCAGATCTTAATGTAATGACTCTCCACGGTTGAGAACCATTCATTCTGTAGAAATTCTGGATAAATTAGTTTGGTATTCACCTGCTGGCCGGCTACGCTGTTGTTGAAACTTCCAGGATCAGTAGCTGCAAGTACAAGCAAGCAAAGGGAAAGAAAAAAAAAAGTTTGATTTAAGACTAAAAACATGAATTACCTAACAATAACAACTGCATTTAACAATTTAAGCATGATCTGATGGATTTTTAACAACGAAATTTCACCACACCCAACTTTTCTTAACAAATTTTTCATCTTTTCCTCTCAGCCAAACACAAAATCCGAAGATCCTTTAAAATTTCTTCTCTTTTCGTTCCGGGTTTCGACCTAAAACCCTAATTTGAGCCAAAATGCATAGAAAGAGGAAGGACATCGGATCTAATACGAACCTTCGTTCTGATCATTCTCTTTGAACTCGTTCTCCAGAGCTTTATCGATCATATCCGCAAAGCTTCCTTCTTTGGGCTTAGAGAGCGAGACATTGGACTCGGTGGCGTTGGCGTTGAGGAGGAGATCTGCTTCAGTGACCGAGTCGTCAGCAGCAGCGAGCGGGTCAGCGAGCGAGAGTGAGAAAAGCAAATCTGAGCTCAGAAGCAGCAGAGCAGGGACGACAACGGCGAGGAAGCCGAACGAGGAGGAGGACGCGCTTCTTCTCAACATTGCAGAAATGCAACTGCGCGGCGGGCGGCAGTTAAACGACGGAAACCGCGACGGTCGAAAAGCTTCACCAATGAGAAATCGCGATTGGAAGAGAGTGTAGAGAGCGAGAGAGAGGAGAGAGAGAGTGGGGACTAACCAGAGTTAGGTGGCGTGGTCAACATGTAGTCATAGACTCATAAATCTTAGAATTAATTTAACAAAATGTGTGGGGGATTCCGTCGCCGGTGGAAACTGTAAATCGTCACTCTTGTGGGAGTTTTTAAAATACCGGCAGGTCACCAAAATTAATGTTTTTTATTTCGGATTTGGAAGTTAGCGTTTAAGGTTTTGTTCATAGGTCAAAAGGGTTAGTTGAGGCTAAGTGTGGATTCGGTCTTAGATCTCGTAATTTTAATTAAACTGATGTCGATATTTGAATAATATTAAAAACTTTAAAATTTTGGTGTTTGAATGATTGATATAATAGTTCATTTGTTAATGTGTAATCAGAATTCAGACAATTAAATTTAGAGAAATTACAATTCGGTTTTGCTTTTGTACTTTTTAAACAAGTCAAACCAAACTATCTGCAATTTGATTCAATCTAGTTGTGTAGAAACTGAAACAAAATTGCTCAAATCCCATCCGAGTTTTTTATTAAATCAAATGCAAAAAAAATGAGAAAATTAATACAAAACGGTGAACACTCTAAACTACTCGAGCTACAAACGCTTTTTTTGTTTTACCAAACATAATCTTCACTTGATTTTCATTTTCTAGTATCCGCTTTTATGAAATATTGAAACAAAAGTTCCCTTTTCTTTTGATGATTTGGAACCAACCATATAGTGCAAATGACAACGGCCTAAGACTGAATAATTTGTCGGGAAAGAAAACAAAAGTTGGTACAGTTTAGTAACATCATTGTACTTGATTAGCATAATAAGTAACCCTAATGTAATCGAAAACATAATATATAAAAGTATGTATGTTTTGCTCACATTTTTTCTTATGCTTATTTTTCGTCTTTTAATCAAATAAAAATAAATATATAGAATTAAACATAAGTGTGCAAACGAGAAAATAGCATTTATTAATAATTTTCCAACACGTTACCCATTAATTGGAATTGGAAACGTGAAAAAGCGTATGTGATTGAGCTCCAACTTGTTCTTTGCCTTTGGCTATTTGTCACAAGTCAAGGAAACGACGTAGTCTGATATCTAACACGCCAACATAGCTATTCTTTTATGTTTGAGTTGAGATTAGGGCTGGAAAAAAATCCCAAAAATCCCAAACCAAACCGAAAAAATCTCGATCCCAAACCAAAAAATTCTCAAACCAAAATTCCCGAAATTTTTGGTATGTTATCCCGAACCAAACCGATATTTTCGGTACGGGAATCGGTTTTGCATCTTCATTTTTTTGGTATTCCCATACCGAACCGAAAATAAATATTATATATATATTTTTTTTTTAATTATAAAAGAATTATTTGAACCGTTGATTGTTTTGGATTTAATCTATGCCGTTGGTTTGTTTTTAGGTCAGTATGCTGCATAAGGCATACCATTTCACTTTCACAGTCCACTTCACTTCAGTTCACTTCCCTTCCATTTCTATCGAATAGCCGAGCGGTTGAGCCCTCCTCATCTCATCTCTGATCTCTCCATTACCGAGCCGGTGAGCCCTCAGCTCATTTCTCTCTCTCTCTCTGTGACGAATTCCGGCTAGCCACCAGCCACCGCCACATCTGACTTTCCAGCCTTCCTTTACCACACAGCCACTTGCACGCCACCTTTCTCTGTCGCGATGATCTCTCTCTGGGGAACTCTCCATCCAGCACTGAGTTCGAATCTATGTCATCCCAAATTAGGTAATTAATTTAATTTAGTGTTTTGAAATCTAATTTCTGTCTTCCTTTTGAAATTTAACTTAGGGTTTGGAATTAATTTTGTGTATTATTCCCCCATTTTTTTTCTTCAGTTTTTATGTATTATTCGGCGGAAGATTCAATTTCCAACTGGGTTCTCGAATTCGTGAGCTTTTTATCAAAAGGTAAGTTTTTGTTCGATAAAGTTCATTATTTGAGTATGTGAGTTCGAATCATTGTGTATTGTCATTTGGGTATACTGTATGTGGGTGTGAATCTGTATGTGTGAGTTCAAATTTGAGTTCGAATCTGTATGTGGTGTGGCCCTGTGGGTGTGAATCTAAACGGATTGATTTCAGTGCATAAATTTTCAATTTTGTTATCACATTTCTGAACTATCAAAGGTTAACTCAATGGTTGTAAGCACCAAAGGGAAAAATGGTTAAGTGAACATTGTTCGCTCAGTCTTTCCGTCAAACACCTTGGGTTCCATTTCATTTTCTGGAATGCAGAATAACAGACTTGAAGTTTAGATTGAATTGCTCTGATTAGTTAAGCAAAGCACAAATATGCCCAATCATCTGCATTTTTTTCTTTTTTTAATTGTTATTGCAACCTTTATTAGTTCACATCTAATTGGGTTCTTTTCATTACTAGTTCACATCTAACTGGGTTCTTTCATTACTAGTTCACATCTAACTGGGTTCTTTTCATTCTTACACGCCTAATTTTTATTTTTAGTTTTTTAAACAATATCTAGGAACTTCTCTTACTTTTAAGTTTAACTGATTGCAGTGCTATGTGGGTATTAGAAAACGAATACCAGGTTTCTTTGTGATCCTCTGTGTAGCGTGTTGTATGTTTATTTCTAGTCTACACTGGTTCTTGGGAAATTATGCAGAGAACTATTTGTTTCGTGAGCAATCATCCCTGTAATAACTAGTTTTTAGCAAAATGTGTGCTTACATTTGCTAAATTTTGGACATGATGCACCGATGTTTTGTTTTTTAGCCTTATCAAACATTGTTTTGTTGCAGGCAGAGATAGCCGGACAAGAAGCTAGAGGCCGAAGAGGCCAACAATCTTCATCAACTTTAAGCTTTGTTTTTTTTGCTTTTGGTTTGTAACTTAATTATTTTGAAACTTTGTCTCATAACTAATTTTTTTGTTTTTGGGTTTGTTACTTTATTTATTTTAAGACCTTTGCTTGTAACTAATTTTTTTTTGCTTTTGGATTTGTCACTTAATTTATTTTTATTGCATGCATGTGTAGTAGAAATTGAATAGGCAGATTAAGGATGCTATTGTGCACAAATTTCAGATTGGCAGATTGCATTCAGATTGGCAGATTTGTGTAGATTCAAATTTTAGTGTAACAACAAATTGGGCAGATTGGCAGCCTGCCCAAAAGCCCAAATTTTCAATATATAAGGTTGAATTTTAGCCTAAAAGCATAATATGTTAAATTTAGTCAAAAACCCCAAAACCCCAAAAACCCAAAACTATTTCAGGATTCCCGATTTGTCCTGAAATCCAGAAAATATTTTGGGATTTCAGAAAAATTGGTTTGGGATCGATATTAAAATTGGGATTCCTAAAAATTTTGATTTGAGAATCAGGACAAGTGTTTTGGCTTAGTATCCCATACCGAACCACCCTAGTTGAGATGGACCTGCAGCCAACTTGCCGACTAAAGCAGGAATAATGGCATCATTGCAGCCCCATAAGCTGGGAAAAAAAGGATACCAAAACATTAAATATTAACTAGTTGAGTTTGTACGGCAATGGATTCGCAATAAAGTCAAATCTGATGCTTTGTTAACTCCACCACCATATGCTAAAAGCATATGTCGACGTAGGAACTGGTCTCCGCCCGCATTAGCATAGGAGTCGACGGCACTCTTTTGACCTCAGTTGGAAGAATTACCTATAGGCTGTAGACCAAGGGGACTGTATTTGAGATTTTGGGGTCTATGCGAAATTTATAAAAGAGTTCATTTTTATGATATATTTTTTAATTTTAATTAGGACAATATATTAGTACTAAAAGATAATAACTTAATTCGACAAAAAAATAAAATAATAATAACTTAAATCAAAACAATCTTTAGGACTCACTAATTGTAAGTTTACAAATGTTATTAAATAAGTAAAAAGAATTACAAACATGACATTCACTAAATAATAAAAAACAGTTCAACTTAAGCAACCAAATAAAGAAAAAATAAAAAAACTTCAAAAACTCTAACTTTAAAGTTTCACTTGAATATATAGATTTATTATATAATAAAATTGAAAAGAAAATCATTTTTTAATGTGTTGTTATTGGCACACTTAATATCTCATTATGTACTCCAAATTTTTATATTTAGAAAGAAAAAAACTTTACACTTATAAAAGTGCACTATAAGATTTTTTTTTTGAACAAATGATATTATCTACACTAAAGGAGTTGGGGAGCGGGCTAAGCCTCACAATGAGCTTGCAATAATGTAGTTCAAATTCATCTTTGGCGAGAATCAAACCTAGGACCTCTCACTTACTAATGGAAAGGAACATCACTAAACCGTAGTACTAAGTGGCAAGTGCACTATAAGATTTTAAAGTGCTAATAAAAATATTCTTTTGTAATATATAATATTATTACATATAAATATAAGATACCCAAAATTTTTTGGGGCCCTTCAAATTTGGGAGTACGTGCCATTGCACATTTTGCTCTCCCTCTACGATCCTCTGACATTCGGGACTCCCTTCCGGTAGGTTAAAATCATTGAATCCGGCTTGCATGCATGCAGAACCAACCAAACCCTCAGGAGGAATGAGGACCAGCCTTTACTGTCTAGGAGTAGGAGAGTAAAAGTAGCTTAGAACGCGTGACTATACGTACAGATACAGTTACAGCCAACCAGGCGGCAGAGGGATGAACTCCCCAACTACTTCTTCACCTACTGATATATACACACATTGCTTTTACTAAACATACATGCCTAGCTAATTTCAGATTGATACATCATGCGCGAAGGGATTCACGACTCCAGCAGTCTCTTCGATCTTCAACATCTTCAAAGCCTCAAATTTGCTGATAACAGATATTACGACTCTCAAATTCCATCTGCCATCGGAAAGCCTGCAAATTTGAGGTATCTAAACCTATCCCGTAATGGCTTTTGGGGACAACTACCAATTGGGATTTCGCACTTGATAAAGTTGACGGTTCTTGATCTTTCTGAAAATTACTTAGAACTTAAGAACCCCAATTTAAGCATGCTGGTTCAAAATCTCACCGAGCTTAAAGAGTTATATTTTGATTATGTAAACCTATCAGCAGAAAAGGGTGGTGACTGGTGCAAAGAGATTTCATCTTCACTTCCGCACCTGAGAGCGTTGAGCTTGTACAGCACTTCTCTTGCCAAGCTTACTTCTCTATCCGTGATTCGATTGGATTATACTAACCTCCACTCCCCAGTTCCAGCCTTCTTTGCCAATTTTTAAAACTTGACTTCCTTGACTCACAGTGTATGTGGGTTGTGTGGAACATTTCCCCCCGAGAACTTCCGGATATCTACATTGCAGACTGTTGACTTGTTGGTAAATCAAATGCTTCAAGGTTCCTAACCTGAATTTCCAAAAAAGGGTTCTCTTCGAATTCTGGACCTGAGTATCACAAACTTTTCAGGGGTACTGCCCGACTCTATTGGCAACCTCAAAATGTTGTCCGAAATAGATATTCCAATGTGCCACTACCAATTGGGAAGCTAGAGATCAAGTAAGTGGCATTTTATGAGGATTACTAAGCTCACACGCCGGCGTTGGATTTTGACGATCGGATATCTCTATGAATGGAAAAGGGGTGCTTCGGATCGGGAGTAATCACCAGTGATAGGGCAAAAATCGGGGGAAAGGACAAAGGAAAGAGCGATGCCCACATTAAATACCACAAGAAAACCGCTCCCCTACCCCTATCTCTAAGGGGCCCGTAATGAGCCGCTACTAAAAATCGAAAAGGTTTACAGGGAGTTACAGTCTATAGTGGACTATTCGTTCTTTTGGGGGCCTTTCGTACTCAAGAGTAAATTATTGAGCGCACTAAAATCTAGTGGATGAGTTCAATATTCATGAAAAGCCGGGTTAGAAATGATTCATGTTATGGAACCAAGACAACCAAATATAAACAAGGGAATTTGCTTGAAAACATCAAGTAATGGGAGATTTATTTGGACTTTGTTATATTTCAATTCTGTTCGCTATCTGTGCCTGATTGGACAGCAATGGAGTTCCCAAAGTTGATGGCAAACCTCACATACTTGTACGATTTACAAATGTCAGAGAACAAGTTCAGTGGTTCCATACTTCCATTAGTTCCACTCATTGGGAAAACCTTGTCAATTTGGCGTTTGTTGACTTGAGTTCCAATCTACTCGATGGAGGCAGTGCGTTGTCTATGTTTTCTCTTCCATTGCTGCAAGCACTAGACCTTTCAAACAACGAATTCTCTCATCAACTCCATGAATTTTCTAATGTCTCTTCTTTGGTGGAGACGCAAGTCAATGACACAGTTTCGCCATAAGCTGCGGCATTGATCGATTCCTCTTGACCTGAAAAGTGTCAAAGATCAGTAGCACCTCAGCAGCATAATTAGATATCCACTACAGTCATCCATCAGTACATTTGAATTCGATTCAATGAACCCTCTTCTAAACTAAAGCAGTAGACTTGGTCTGCTAACTTTAATTAATTGATGGTGTAGTTTAAACTTACTCTGAATCTCTGATGATGTTTTTAGACTGACTAGTTGTCTTGTACTTGCTTCTTAGATGGGAAGTCAAGAAACCGTAAAACTAATTGGTAATACGAGGAGTAATCAGATTCCTTATATGCCCGTGAAAGGGTTCACTTAACTTTCTCAGGACATTTCTTCATATCCTGACAGGAAGCCATTGAAGAAGGAAAATATTCCTTGATTACAGTATCGGCAAGGCAAATGCAACTTCTGGGATTTGCTCAAACAGTCGTCATTGGCAACTAAAAGTTACCTCGAAGAAGCCTCTTCTTTGTGATCCATGGAGATTGCAGCTTCCACTGGCCTGAAAGAGCCCTCAATGTCTTGCCCCTTGTTTCTTCAAGTCATTGTTTTGCACTGGTCTGAATTTTCACTTCACACTTTCTGGTGGCAGATAAAGGTACCATTTTTACCATTATCTCGCCTTGAGAGGCATCTGGCTTTTACTGCTACCGCCTCCAAATCACGCCACGTGCATGATATTCCCCTACCATCCATATTTATTTGGGGTACGCTTTCCCAAAAATCGCATCTTTCATCTTCCTCCTCTTGCAGATACAGGAATGGCGGACAAACCCAGCCGAGCTTTGGTTCTGTACGGAGATGGGTCGGCCCGGTTCGTCGACCCGTCACACACCCATCTCCACTCTCTCGCTTCCAAAGCTTCCTGTGGATTCCTGAGCCTCCCCATTACTCCTCCCTCAGGTTTTCACTCTCTCTCTCAGTCTCTGCAAATTCTTATCTTTGAACAATAGATACAGTAATTATCATTATTAAGAAATAATCCCATTTGGTTTCTTATTAAAACACTAATTAAATACGTAGATAATCATGAATTCACGGCTTTGCTTTCGTGGGTTTAATCAAGTTTGTTAATTTTTTAAGTGCGCAAGTTTTCTTGGTATTTAGAACCCTATATATTTTAGCCAACTGGTCAAATTAATTGCAAATACATTGCATTTCAATTTTTTTTACTGATTTCGATTTTCATGTACATATTGGTATGCTTTTTACTGCTTTATCAGCACTGGGATTTACTTGAGTTTAGATTGCAGAAAGCGAGGATGAGAGAGTAGTTAGAGAGTTTGCAGTACTGCTGGATGCGTATGAAGCTTACCTTGATACGGTATGATCGACATACTTGACATTCTTACAAAACTGTAATTATAACTGTTTTACAAAATGGTTATCAAACGGATCCTAATTAGTTTTTTGTACTTGGTTTCTCAGAGTTCAGGAATCACTAAAGAAGAAAGAGAGAAGAAATCCTTGATTCCCATATCCGAAAGGTAGAACAACTTTTCGGTTCGTGCTCAGTCAGTTATAATTAGCAATGTTCCAAAAAGTTATTAACTTTTGATAATCCAATTTCAACTGGTTCATAAATTGTGTTTTTGTAATGCTTCAGGTTCATGGGGATGAAAGCTGCTATATTTACAAACAATTCAAGTTTGAAATCTTTTGGTACCAAACTTGGTTTCAGCATATTCCAAATTGACGGTTTTCTTAAAAACAGTCCAGCAGGCGCTGAACAACCAATTAATTTCGGGGCATCTAAGTTACTTAAGCTGCTTGGATTTCAAGAAGGGAAGGCAGTGGAGTCGAGCCAGTATGATTTGGTCTTTGTTCATGTTGCGGCTGCTGAGGTGGAATATCTCAATGCTTTGGTTGGTGCTATATCGCAAATAGACCAGCCGGGATCTGAGGTCAGTTCCCGCTTGCACTTGTCTGTTGTGTTGAACTATGGGAAGGTCTCAGAAAACGATGTTACCAACTTGTCCGTCTCAATCAGAAAAGATGATGAAAACTCTGATCTTGCGAAGCTCATTCCTCGTCAAAGTTACACCATGAAAGGAGAGAATCCTCGGAAGGATGTTAGGTGAGTGAAAACTTAGTGGTTTCTTGCGCCATTTGAAATAACTCATAACTCCTGCTATCTTTGTGTGAACAGGGACCATTGCCCAATGTTAATTGCTCAGTGGCAATATGCCGTAACCCGCAAGGATATGGCAGAGACATTTTCCTTTAAGGATTTCAAAGAGGTACGCTGGGGATTATCAGAGACTGGTTTTGCAAGATGGCACATGCTGGATTTCTTAACAGATTTACGGCTAACAAAACTTCCTGAGTTGATCTCTGTTGTACAAGATGGCATTATCTGGTTATAAATCTCACGTCGAGTTCAAAGATTCCGAATTTACCAAACTAGGATACATTCACTAGAATTGCTTAGTGCATTTTTACAAATGAACTCTGAAACTTGTTCTTTTCTATGCAGAATGGTGGAAATCTTGTAATACCGGCAGATAGGTTTCTGCACGAAGTGGCCTTTAAGCTTTGGAAGGCCCCCAAGTATGGAGCATGAGTTGCCCAAGTATGGAGCATGAGTTGAAGTGCTGAGAAGGCCACAGATTCCCGACGGTGCATAATTTTCCTCCGCATAAGCACGGAAGGTAACCGGAGGGGCAAAGCTCTGGTTGCTCATCTCAAACGTCGTCCTAGTGCTTTTCAAAGCAATTCTCAACTTTGGCCTTGCCTTACCGGACGCTACATGTAATAAGATTAGTCTGTATGTGACTAAAACCTTGCTAATGTTTCGATCACCCCACAACGGGGGGCAACAACTAATGATCACTGTTATCAACTTGATAGAAATTTTGTTCGCTTTAATGCCAAGTATGAAAATTAGAGAATTTTATTGATTCGAAGCAGCCGAGACACAATTTGATTAAATCTGAGTTTATAGCTCCGTGAAGTTCATCATCTGGCAAATAGACCAGTTATGAACGTTCACTCGGTTGGAGCTATGGATGCAAATGGGTTTCCATGACTCGTTCGGAATCATAACCCGAGCATGTTACAGACTGCACAAAGTCGATAAGCTTTCTAAATCATTCATCTACAGTAGAATAAATTGACTCAGTTTGACATCAGAAGCGTTATTCACAAAAAACATATAACAAAATTGCATCAGGAACTAGAGCCATGCAGAGGAACATTACCACATAACATCCTGCATACTACCTCAAATTTTTCGACATTGTGAGGGAACTAGCACTCTAACAAGGTCTTGACACAATAACTGCCCAGTATAAACCACACCAGAAGGAGGAGCGAGAAGGAGAAAAGCACAACAACGAATGGCCATCCAACCATGGCAACACCAATAGCGAGCACCAATACAAAAGGGAGGAACGACCTCAAGACGGATGTGGCGTCAACCCAATGCCCCTTGAGCAGTACTAAGCCTGCCACATTGATCATGTTCCAACTAATTGATCCGCCATAGCAGAGCCGATTGAGACAGTTGGCCACAAATGAATGGCAGTTGCAAGTGAATAGGTTGTAGGTTTTGTGTTCAAAGTACCGCGAACTTGACCGCAAGGCATCATCCCACGTTATTGCTGTCCCAAACTCTGAATGCTCATACCCATGCTTGCAAGTGTGGCCACCCAGATTTGGGGCAAAACAACACTGCACGTAACAACCAAAAAGATGATAAGAAATCAAGACGCCTATGTCTAACTGCTTGTTCATCGAACTCCGAAAGGGGCATAAAAATTTGATCTAAACAAGTTTTAAATAAAACTCAACTTCTTAAAGGGACAATTTAAGAACAATGACACGACACATTACCTGTTTTCTATCAATTTGGAGATATCTGGCTACGGGACCAAATGTGAAATCATCAACATTCACAAAATTGGAACCAGAAAAATCTAAAATAGCTCCATCCTCCCTGCAAATGCCAACATGTCCGATGAATGGTGCCAACCAAGAGACTACGGGGAGCGGAGTCCAAACTATACAGCAAGGAAACTTTGCCTTCTTCGGATCAATTTCATCGAGTGGCCACAGCTCATGCTGAATATTCTGCGTAGAGGACATACGCTCGATGTCATAAGCTTCCTTTAGCTCCATCATAGGAAATCTGAAGTCCTGGCATATACTTTGTTCAATCTTTATCTAAGCATCCCAAATGTCAAAGTTCAAACTAATCCTTCAGAATACTGATTGCGTCTCCGAATACAATTACCATATCAGTTCAATCTGCCAGTAAACGAAAACAAAGGCGCCTTTAGAAGAACAGAAAGAGTATCCAATCTAGGATGCACAAACTAAAAATTGGATAGTACTAGGTACAACAGATTCAAAGAGGATGTGGAAATATTAAGAATCTAAATATGCTTACATTGTTAGCTTCAGAGGTTTGATCATCTTTTTTCTTTTCGACAATAATACGATATTGTATTCCAAACTACTCTAATTTACTAGAAGAGGTGAATTCTAATTTGGGTGCGGGTGGAGGGCGTCAACTGGCCTAACTCACGTCTGCCAATAGTTTTGATCTTCTACTTCCTGGAAATTATTTTGCAGCCAAAAAAGCACTTAAAGATAGCTCAAAAATGAAAGCATCAGCTTCCAAGATTAGAATGCACCTTTAAGCTGGGAAAAAAAAAAAAAACCAATACAGTCGTGCTTAATAGCAGGAAATGGGTAGCTTAAAAATTTAATCTTTTTAGACTTCCCCAAGATTATAATTGCAAACAGACAAATACCCAAATGGGTTTCCCATCAATTTATTGAAATATTGAAAGAAAACAAGATCCGAACCACACAAAATGCATCTGGGTCCACAAAGATTGGAGCTTTAAGCAAAGATTTTTATGCCAACAGACCTGCAGAGTATTTCAATAGCTGGGAAGAAACTGAAGTTGGTGCCGGAAAAAGTTGAAGTTCTGAGAGGAAAGCATAAAGATGAATAATGGATGAAAATTTTAATTAATTAAAGTTTTAATTTTTGCTTTATGGACGTTGGTTTTCTTGTTTTGAACCTCTGTGAAACTCAATGATTCATGCCCCTCGGTGGGCCCCATTCAGCATGCTCATTTAATAAATATCTTTTTTCTACTCTCTTTTCCGTTCCTTGATAGAAACGGTTGAGGTTGGTTTGTTGTAAGAGAAAGTTTGCAACCGACTTCTTCCATCAAAAGTAAAATGTGAATACTTTTACCTATTTATAACATATTGAAGTTTATAAAGTTATTACACCAACTTTTACGTCTAAAGTTAATTTTATTTGTTCATCATTTTTTTCCTTGTAAAAAATAAGAAGTTATCGTATATGTAAAATGGTATATGATATTGTATAACGACACAATCTGAACCCCAACTTTGATTAACTTTTGGAAGACAATGTATGGCGCTTCACTTTTTCATGATGCAGCAATTCAAACACCACCACCACAGCCACCATCATCGACCGTGCGGTATTGACTATTGAGATTTGAGAGCATTGAGGCAAGCATGCAGGGCAATGCTTATGGGAAGGATTGCAAGTTTGTAAGCATCGACATTGACGTAGGCACCGACAATAGAGACTACAGATGAGAAGACGAAACTTTTTAATTTAAAGTTAAACCCATTCCCGTGAGAGTGAGAAGTAACTAGTTGAGGGTTTTGGCATTCTTGGGTGCCGACGACTAGACCATATGGCCGTCTCACCGTGCAAATACCCTACTTTGTGGTTCCAACTTCTATCCCGGTCCAAGCCCATGTGGTGCCCATATACGGGCTCATCAGAGGCCCATGAGATGGTCATGGACTAACCGGACTGCTTTTGTTGAAAATATTTATGAGACATTTTTGTGTGTGTCGAAGATTTGCAATTTATATCATTACTATGTACATATGTCAAGGGGATTATATTCTAAATGCTTGCATAGACAGTACATATGTACAGAAATAGCACTATCTCAGTAACAAATTGACGTCGAAATGTAGCGTAGACTCGTAAATAAGCAAGTAAATGCACAATCGCAAATAAGCAAGAAAATCTTTCTTTTTTTTTTCATCCAAATGTATTTACTCTTTTTGATTTTCACAACAGCATCTGCAGAGATCATATGTTTACAATTTCTCAAATGAGATCTCCACACCAACACAATTAAGACTTATTAGTCTTTTCCTTCCCCTTTTTTCCTTCCTTTTTTTTTTTTTTTTCCTACAATTTTTTCTTACATGCAGATTGATTGATACAACCTACTAACTACTACTGCTAGAGACTGATCGAACATCTTCAACGGAAATGGGAACCTCCCGACTGCCCCTTATGCAGTATAAATTCAAGGAGGATTTCCCACTCTGTTCGGTATACAGGTTGTGCTGAGCTCACACTTTGACTGAGCCAACACTTCCGAATCCAGCATCGAGAAAAACTTACGCTGCTACTGCCCCCGACTCTTCGAGACAAGGAACAACTTCCGATTATTAACACGGTGGTCAACTTTTTCTTTTGTTTTTTGGGTTATTCAGTCATTTGATTTGTAGAGTTTGTTCTTCCAACAAAACGTTGAAGGCGTCGGAGGCGAACCATGAGCTGCGAGAAAGATGGCCGTAAGTTTGGCTCTCTGCAAAATAAACAAACCAGTAGTAATTAAAAGGACTCAAAGTTGTAGAACTAGCCAAAACCAGTTATAGTATAAAACAATGGGAGTCCATAACTCACGTTTGCCAACAATCACGTATTATCTCGGCAACCACTGGATCGATTTCCTCTGGAATTTCAAGACGCCTGTTTTGGAATCCAACGGCTCCAACAACCTGCATTGGGTTCAATCCTTTCCATGGGACGCAGCAAGTAGCCAGTTCCCATAAGATAACACCGAAGCTGTACACATCACACCTGAAAGCAGGCAACATGCAAAGCTTATGAAAACCTCCAGAGTGTATAATTTTCAAAATACATCCACCTTTCAGCAACTTACTTCTCATTAGCCGGTTCATTCCTTAAAACTTCCGGAGCCATCCATTCGGGCTGCAGTCAAATAGTATACAATGAGTACATAAAGCAAACGGGTACTTAGAATCTATGATGATACGAGAGGGTAATCAGATATTATATGAACATTCACGTTTAACGAATATTACCGTTCCAGCAGTAGACTTGGAAGACAGAAAAGTATGGTGCTTCGTGCGTGACAACCCAAAGTCACAAACCTGCATAATATAAACAACATATTTGAGAAAATGGAAATCAATTTTTTTAGACACAAAAGCATTATCAATGAATAACTTAAAATGTAAGTTTTGGTTTGAGTTGACCTTCACATTCCAATTCTTATCAACAAGGAGGTTTGGAGACTTTAGGTCTCGATGCACAACAGTAGGATTGCTAGTGTGCAGGTAATTCATTCCCTTGGCCTGAATAACTTCACGGAGCTCTGATTAAGAATCAAAAGGAAACCAGAAAGGAAAAACTACAAAATAAGAAACAAAAATGTTTTTACCACATCAAGAGCCATTCGCATTCGCCTCCTTTCATCAAGTTGAGAATTGGGACGATGCAGCAATCTATATAAACTCCCCCTGTATACCAAGTGAATGTTTAAGTAACAGGACGAGAATGAGATGAAACAGATAATGGAACAGGATTGTAGAATGTAGATGTCTAGTTTGTTGGAAAAAATTTCCTAGCTCTATAAACGAATTTGTTGTTTGAAAGGCCTATTTGTTGCCTAGTTAGGTTTACATCATCATACACATAATGTATTTTTTACTTCGTATGATGTTAAATTACATTGTGTTCATCATTCAACTTTCAGAATTATATAAAATTTGATAAATAAATAAAAAGTGCTAGGGAAATTAACCTGGGAAGAAACTCTGTCAGGATAGAGAAATGTGGAGGGCGAGTAACTGCCCCCATGAAAAGGACAACATTGGGATGTCTGAGTCTCAACATAATTTCTACCTGCATGAACAAACACCAAGAATCAATTAATAAAAAAACCAATGAATTTGAACTTTAGGCTCATAATACATCCATAAAATCACATACAAAGTTTAGAATTGGAGCTTACTTCACATTTAAACTGAACTAATGCATCACCAGAAAAATCTTGATCTAAAAACTTTTTCACAGCTACTTCCTGTCATGCAAAAAGTCAACACAGATCAATAAACAATTTGTAAATAATAGAACCCGATAGCAGCCATATTCCAGAATTATAATAATAACAAGTCTCATGCTATGAATAACCAACATATTAAGCATTAACGTTCAGAAAAGTATCACAGTTCAGAGTACAGACATCTCAACAATTATTGACAAAATATCGATGTTTGAGAGAAATCATACAAACACTTTGAGAGCTAGAGATACAAAGAAAATATGGGAAAGTATAAGATGAACAATACTTACAGTGCCATTCCAATCTGCACGATATACCTCGCCATAGGAACCTACAAAACCAGAAATTATATTGAACCTGTTTTTACAAAATATTCCAAATTTAAGCAACAAAATTCTAAACCTGTGCTTACCAATGCCAATGCGTTCACCAATCTGAAGATCCTCCCATAGAATTTCCCACTCTGCAACTTCCCCCAGTGCGGGATACCTCTCGTAGTGACTATCACAACTAGTACACAGGCCACTATTGCATCTGTCCATTGGTTTACTCACTGATTCTTTATACTCGTTAAAAGCTTTGGAGTTCATTGGGGGACTATCAAGAACAGGATTACAAATCTGGGTTGTTTCACTAGTTCCACCAGACACGATTACAAATCCCTCCTCAACAGCATCTAAGAGAAGAGAAAACTTATTTGTCTCTGATTCATTTTGTTGCTCAGCTAAATCCAAGGAAGATTGTTTCAGCAAGTTATCAAGATTGGCATAGCTCACTTCAGCAGCAGTTTGAGTGGACTGCTCATTGCCTGATAATAATTGGACCAAATAATTATGAATCCCATCATCTACAAGTTTCCCATCTGCATTCATTTGACCAAGCAACTTGTCTTCATGCAGATATTGAGGATTCATATCTGAAAATAAATCTGCAGGAGGTGATGCACCACTTTCCAACAAGACAGCATGTAGTTTTTGTGCAAACTCTGGGTTCTTTGCTGCACTGATGACATACTTCGATACATTTTTCACTTTCCTTTTCTGCGCAGATGTGGCTTTTTCAGTTGTACCCGATGAACTTTCACATGATTTACGAAGTGATCTAAGGGCAGTCCCCATATCACTGCTAGACCTCTCCATTTGGTTTTCATCAACAACGATTCTTCTATCATCTTTTGTTTGACTGCCTGCATACAATGCTTCTTCTGACCGTGAGCTGCCAGTTCTAGAAACTATGTCAAGATCAGAAGGAACTGCTAACATTCCACTGCCCTCAGCTTGAGCCAAACACACATCTTTGGGCATTTCGGTGGCATCTTGAAAGCTCCTTATGGCAAAGAAAGAATTCGGGAGCTGACTAGTAGGCACCTCGGCAGGAATGAGTGTTCCAGGTGCACCCATCAAATCAATAATATACTCACTACAGCGAGTAAAAAACCCATTAATCATCATAAATCCAGGACATCTTACAGCCTGCACTAATTCACCTTAGCAAGATGAAAAATGTGCATGGGATTGTAGGAGCAAAGCAGCAAACAAGAGCATGCACCTCTAATCTAACATCCATTACTTAAACATGATAGTAAATTCAAATCCAACAGCTTATCAGTAGAGGTACATCTGAAATGAAAAGAACTGCAGAGATATCGCAATGACATAAGTATTTACCTTTTCAACGGGGACAAAAAAAAAAACATAATTACTCTTAATCCAAGACTCCAAGAAACTTCATTAAGCAACATGTCTTGCAGAAATAACATCAGCGGTTTCAAGAGCAGTTCAAAAATCAGAGAAAAATTGGTGTATGTTGAACTACATTTGTCCTACTATAGTTGGGTTCCTGTGTCTTAAAGGAACAACCAAGCACCTACAGTTTGTGGACAAAC